ATAGCCGCCTGCGTGACGACAACCCAGTCCGAAAGCGACGTTTTGCTTCGTTTCCCTTTTCTTTTTTCTTTTTTTTTTCCCGAGTTTTTTTCTTTACTGACCAAGTGGGTTGACTCGGGGTTTTTGGGTGAGTCGCCTCGGCCGGCCCACATTGGTTAACTCGAACCGAACTGAATTGAGACTAAAAAAATGGACGAGGAGCCTCTCTTGTAGAGATTCGATTCTAAATTTAAAATTTAAAAAGATTTCTAACAGCACGATATTCGGTGAACTAATATGATTGATTGATTTTTCGAATCTTACAAAGAGAATCTAGAAAGGAACCTATTCCTAAAAAAAATTGAAGAAAATCGAGTTAACCAAAACAAAACGAAACAGGCTTTTGGAGTTCGGTTCAGACTAAACCGATATATTTATAAATATATATACTTTTTTAACAATACATGGCCTTTGTGAAAGCCCAAACTCATTCTTTTTAAAGCCCAATTACCAAACCCTAGTCTAGTACTACCCTCCCTTAGAGTAGTTCTATCGTTGGAAACCCTCCCCCAGGCTATTCACTATTTAATCAACCCAATGAACAGTAACTGCCTTTTGCATCTCCACCGTTGCATTTGAATAACCTTGGCAATAGACAATAAAATATTAGTATTTTTTTATTTATAATAAATATTATATTATTTAATTTGTATAAATTAATATTATATTATTAATTTATCTTTTCCAATCTCTTCCCGAAACTTCTACCATTTTTGTTTTCTTCTTCCTTCCCACTCTCTCACTCCCCTCTTCCTCGTTGTCTTCCCTTTTTTCTCCGGTCGACATCTCCCTCCCCGCTCTCTTTTTCTCCGGCCGACAAATCCCTTCCCTTTAAGACACCTTTTATTCCCCTCAACCCCACAAATCAAACCCAAAGTTTTATGCCTCCAACCAGCAATTTGAACTCTCTTTGCTCACCGGTCCTCTGATCTTCCACTATTTGCATATAGACACCACCATGAGACCAAACCAGAGCAGATTATCCAGACTTTCAGCAAAGTCATCAACCTTTGCATCGCCATGAGCAGAATCGCTTCCAGCAATGGCATTTGCCTCCTCGCGTTGAACAGAAAGTTCAAGGACAATCTCGATCGGCGGAAGGATGACAAAAAGGAAGAAGAGTTCAGAGTCAGGAATAGAGCGGTTATGGAAGCACTTTTGGCCAAGCTCTTCACCGGAATCACTTCCATAAAAGCAGCTTAAGCGAAGCACCAAACCCACCCACGTCAGCCTTGCGTCACGTGGCCTTCGAGCTCTCGGCTGGCAATTCCTACCGGGCCTCTCCCTTGGGTCTGCTCTGGCTTCCTCACAGCACACGCTGGACATGCTTGCTCAGGCTTTCTGGCCCTGTTCACGCCCCTGTCCATCGGGCTCCAGCACACGCTAGAGTTGCTCTTAGCTCAATTTTCACTATGGAAACCGCAAGTTTTTGTGGTTTGGTTCAATGCGGTTTTGAGGCTAAAACCAAAATGAAACCAAACCATTTGGTTCGGTTCGGTTTGGTTTTAAACAGTTTTGGTTTGGTTTCATTGTTTGAAAAAACTATTATGGTTACCTAGTTGTATCTCATTTCATTTTCCTTTGATATACACTTCAATTCTCTTCTATGAGCAACATTTACTGTTTGTTTTTCATTTTTCATGTCTTCTATTACTGTATTGTTCAAGCATACATACAATATTAAAATTCAATCAAGCATGGCTTCAATTACAATTAGGCATGCATACAACTAACATTATTACACTTAAATATGCTCCCCTGGGCAACGAGTCAGCGACAACAGAATTCATATCCACAAGGACCACAATAGAATAATAACCCAAAAAATAAATTGTTCTCATCCAATTCAATAAAAAAGTTTTGGTGTTTCAACCTAATTATACGACATCTCTATCTCTACTATACTAACAAATATCCACCTTGATGAAACAGGTAAAGGAACTGACTCACACTTGAACGATCTCCTTCAACAAGCAATGCAATCGACTCAGTAGTTCCAACTCTCATATTTTGTATGCATACTCCCTAAACAACCAAGCTTTAAGCATATATGTTGACTAATTTGTTGATGCTGCTATGCCAAACAACAAATGAGTAACTCATAAAGATTTCTCAATTCTCACTGTTTTTCGACCTAAACCCGATAAATCACACAAGAAACAGATATAAGAGCCAATGGGGTGAGAACAACTACTAATCTGTATTGCCATTTGCCAAGATTCAAAAACTTATTATTTGACTTGCTATAAAATGAATCCACTCAAATGAGCATCGAAATCATTCCAAATTTCACAAACAACAGTTAATCTAACTAACCTTTAGTCAAAACGGAGGAGGATTCTCTCCCCTCCTATTTGAACAGTTACGGTTTAGCCACGTCAACATCTTATATTGATTTTTTTATAGAGACAATAAGACAAAAAACAATATATAAGAGGAGGGGAGGAAAGGGGATTGGAATAAGAGGAGAGAGAATCCTTCAATAGGATGGGAATACGAGCATCAAAATCATTCAACAAATCTATAACATTACTAATTAGATACATTCTCAACAACCCATTAACACACCACTCAAAACTTACATTCTACTCAACATCCAAACATAAAGCATTAAAACCAAAACTTCAATTCATCATCTTTCCCACAATTTTCTCACTAACCAAACAGACAATACCAAAAAAACGCTCCAAGAAGCTTACATTTTTCTTAGATTCTTGATCGGAGACCGCACTATCTTCAACATCAAGAACGTAGGAAGCAGGAACATGACATGGTTTTGTGAGAACACAGCAAAAAAAGGAGAATAGGCAGAGAGATGCCAAGAAAGAGATTATGTGGCCATGTTATGATGTGGTTGAGTTCATACTAAATGTATGGACTCAATGAAATAACCAATTAGAATTTAAAATTTCATAAAGTTATGCAGTTTCGATTTCGGAGGGCCGAAACCAAAACCAAACCATTTTTCCCTTATTCGATTCGGTTTCAAACCGAAACCGTTTTGAAATTGCAAAACCAAACTATTTGGTACGGTTCGATTTGATTCGTGTTGGGTTCAAGTGCCCACCCCTAATTTTCACCCTTTCATCTCATCTCTCTCTCCTCCCTTCATTCCTCCCTCACCACACTCGATCGATTGGGCACTTCCTCCACCATCTCTTCCCGCAAATTCAATCCACACAAATTAGATTCGATCATGTCTCAAGATTGCAACCCCAAACTCTCGCTAGCATCTGTAGATTTGATCTCGAACGAAAAAGATGTTTAAAACCGAGCAAACTAAACCAAAACTAAGTCAATCTGCTTTTGTGTGGTTTTTCTTTAAAATTTTTTGTTCTCAAATTGAACCGAACCGTTTTCAATTCACCATTTTAGAAGTGCGTCAGATCAAACCAAACCATATCCATCTCTAATTAAGTTTCCTGGGCAGCCACCTAGGTCAAATTGGCCTAGTTGCTACTAGGCCCATTGGCTCCACCCATTCACTTGGGCTATTTGGTACGGTTGGTAGGGCTGGGCACGGGCCAGGCCATTTGAAGGAATCGAACCTACCTGTTTTAAAATGTAACGGGCGGGGTAGAGGGATTTTGAGTTTGGGAAAACGGGCCGGTTCGAGACGGGTCCAATTACTTTTTTTTTTTTGGTATTTTTTTGTTGGGTCTGACAGTAGGTTGCTTTTTTTTTATTACCAACAACACATTTACATTTACAAGAGAGGCCCACAGACAATACAAACCAACAAAACCAAGCCCAACATAAAAAACCCTAACAGCCTGCACTGCATCCTTCGCCGTAGCATCCCCTGCCACTGCTGCCATTAGGTGGACCACCAAACTTGAACCAGTGGCCTGAAATCAAACCAAATCGAGCCCCCAAAATGGATAAAAATAAGACTTCAACAAGTCCAGCCAGATCCTTTACAACATGATTTTCCAAAGCTAAACTAAAATCAAAACCAAAACCAATTAAATCTAGAAAATTTAGAAAATATATCCCTAAATTCAATAACCCAGAAATTTCAAAAATCCTAATTCATAAGTCCTAAATCCCTAAAATCAAAAACCAAATAATTCAAAAACCCTAATTTAGAAATTACCTTAATTTGAGAGAAGATGATATGATATTTCGAATCGCATGATGATGGTGGTGTTTTCGACGGCGGCGATGGGTGATCACGTTTGGGAGGAGACGATGGCGATGGTGGTGTTCATAGGAGGACTCGACTCGAGTAGGAGAGGGGACTGAGAATCGAGAAAGATAAGAGTCAGTCTAGACTCTAGGGGAGAGAGATCAAGAGGGATGACTCTCAGAGAGAGATCGAGAGGGAGGACTATGTGAGAGAAAGATGGAGAAGAAGGACTCTAGGAGAGTCTCGAGAAAGATGTGATGTGTATGAGATTTGAGTGTGTGCGTGTGTGTGTGTGAGATTGAGTGTGTGAGGTTTATTGGATACGGTTCGGGCCGAGGGCCCGTGACTTCAGAAGATTGGATTCGGCCCGCCCCGTCCCGTCCTGTTTTGTGTATAAAACAATATGGACCCGTCCCGTACCTGCCCCTACCCCTGGGCCTAGGGCCCATTTGCCCACCCCTAACGGTTGGAGTTGGCTTTTCCAAAAAAAAGGCCAATTACCTGATATCTTGCAACTGGTGGAATTACTCTAAAAGTTGAGGCTATTATTTTTTAACGAAAAAACTGAACCGAATTGACACCTCCAAAATTTTTGATACTTACAAGAAGAGACTAATCAAAGAGATCGAAAATCAATCAACTTCGCCTTCAACAAAATCCTAATTCCTAACCGAGAAAGCATTGTAATTTGGAATTTGGTGCGGCAGACCGACGGAGAATTTGATAAATATGGCATTTTGGTAGAGTTTGGGCTTCGGATGGATATACGAAAGACGGAGAGGTCTTTTTTCGTATTTTCATTAAATGTATAAAAAAAATAAAACATGACAAAACCATCCTCCACACCTCCCAAAACCCCTGCGCACTAACACTAAAACGGTAAAACCCATCAAAATTTTCCAGGAAAATCCTTCTGATTCCGGGAAAGTTGTCCTTAAACCCCAACCTCCTTTTTCCGCCAGCAACCCAGAAATGTCCATCTCCTTCTCCTCCTCCTCCTCCTCTCAACTCTTCTTTCATAAACCTTACTTCTCTGTAAGACTCTCCCTCTCTCTCTCTCTCTCTCTCTCTCTCTCTCTCTCTCTCTCTCAAGTGTGATTTTGGGCTAATGGTTTCCATTGCAGCAGCAGAGCAATTTTCAGAAGCAACGAGTAGCTGGGTTTTGGAGAAAGCCACAGTCTTTAAGGAGGTTAGTGGTCAAGGCAGGCGCAAAAAAGATATCTTTTGGTACAGAATGCAGGGATGCCTTACAAACTGGGATAGATAAACTTGCTGATGCTGTTTCCCTTACCTTAGGACCTAAAGGTAGCTGGATTTTCCTCCTTTTCGATTTTTATTACTCTGGGTGTTCGGCATTTTCGTTTTGTTTTCTTAATTCTTTCGAAATCTTATAGTTTTCTGTTATGAATATATTTTCGTATGGTGTATGAATAGAGACCCAAGTAAATGAGGGTGAACCATTGTTGCATGACTTTACAAGTATATGTTAGGAATTGTAGTTTCCTTGTCGAATTCAATCGGTGCAGTTGATATAATTTGGTACCTTCTTCAGTCGGATTTAAACTTCTAGTTAAACGGTTGTGCTGAATATCAGTGTAGTGAAATGCCAATAAGATTGCGGTGATCATGGAGTTCTAGGGAGATACTGTTTCCATTTTGTTGAATTATTAGAACAATCAATAGGAGGGTTCTTGATCGATAGTTGCATCTTATTTGGTCAACCCTTGAGGTTATCTAGAATATCGATCATTATGACACATACTTTCAAGGATTTGAAGTGTTTTATATTTGGAACAATGAGGCGTACATGAATCTTGTTGCCGGTTATATGTGATATGAAACTAAAAGATGCCCCCAATTTGAAAATAATGCAACTAATTTGTGTTTTTACACATTTAGAAATAATTAGGTGGTGATGCGTTTACTTTGTTGATTGATCTTAAGTGAAACATGCAGGACGTAATGTTGTTCTTTCGGAGTCTGAAAAACTGAACGTGATAAATGATGGTGTAACAATTGTTCAGTCCATAGAGCTATCAGATACAATTGAGAACGTGGGAGCAATGCTAATCCAAGAGGTTGTTCTTGGTTGCTAGATAATTCTCTAACTGAATCTTATCTTGATGCATTTCCAAGCATAAAATTAGAAAGATTAGATCTTTACTTTCGTACTTGCAGGTTGCAAAGAAAATGAATAATCTGGCAGGTGATGGTACCACCACTGCAGTCATTTTGACAAGAGAAATGATCAAAGGTGGACTTTTGGCAGTAGCTTTCGGAGCTAACCCAATTTCTTTGAAGAAGGGAATGGATAAGACTGTAAATGAACTGGTCAAGATCTTGAAGGAGAAGAGTCTTCCCGTAAAAGGAAGGAATGACATTAAGGGTGATCATTTCTCGTCATTCAAATTACATAAAATCACTTTTCGCGTTGTTTTTTCCCTTCTCGTATCTCTTATGGATATAATGTCAAGAGTCTTTCCCCCTTTTTGCAGCTGTAGCTTCAATTTCTGCTGGAAATGACGAGTTCATTGGTAATTTGATTGCTGAAGCTATAGAAAAGATAGGACCTGATGGAGTAATCTCAATTGAGTCATCCTCATCATTTGAAACGTCTGTTTTAGTTGAAGAAGGGCTGAAGGTAATGAAATGATTTTTGCCCAGTAAAAAATATGACAATGTATATAAACTTCTGAATTTAAAATTGAGTAATTCAGATTACAAAAATCTTCATATAAATGAATGAGGATAAGGTTTTTATGATCGTTAGCCGGATATGTATGCTTAGTTGCTTACATATTTTGTTATCCTAATCACAAACAAAACAAAAATTCAAAACTAGAGTTGGGCTCTGGTTGATTGTTTTATTCTTTTAGTTTCTATTAGAATTCTTGTTTACATATTCAAATTAATGCACTATTATTCTTTGTTCAGAACAGTTTGACAAGGGATACATGTCCTCCCACTTCATTACGAACCAGGAAAAATCTCTTGTGGAGTTTGACAAAGCTAAGGTCCTAGTAACTGATCACAAGATCTCAACTGTTAGAGAAATTGTTCCTTTATTGGAAAAGACAACCCAACTGAGTATCCCGCTGCTAGTCATTGCAGAGGATATCTCAAAGAAAGTACTGGAAACACTAGTGGTGAACAAAAAGCAGGGTTTACTTAAAGTCGCTGTTGTTAAATGTCCTGGACTTGCAGAGGGGAAAAAAGCTATTCTGCAAGATATTGCAATTATGACAGGTGAACATATTCATCGCATGCCGACCTTCATTTATCTTTTTCACATGCTTCCGAGATATATTCAGCACACTTTATAACAACATGGGCCATAATGATTATGTAAATCTCATTTATCAAACGTATTGGTCTACTAGTTTAAAAAATTCCATGGCTGCCTTCAAAGTCTATGAAACAACATCATTTTTCAAACTTGGTGAGAACTATAGGTTCTCTACCTCAGACTACTAATATTTCTGCATGATGGTATTAGGATATTTGCCCTGTGTCAGCAAAAATAAATAATCAAAATTGCAACTTTCAGGTGCTGATTTTCTCTCTGGAGATTTTGGTTTGACCCTTGAGAGTGCAACATCAGATCAACTTGGAATTGCAAGAAAAGTGAAAATAACAAGTAATTCAACAACGATAGTTGCAGACCCTTCTACTAAAGCTGAGATTCAGGCAAGAATATTACAGATCAAGAAGGATCTGGCAGAAACAGAAAATGCATACCTGTCGAGAAAGCTCTCTGAAAGAATTGCCAAACTTTGCGGTGGAGTTGCTGTAATTAAGGTCTGCAATATGGAAGAGCTACCATTTCAGATAGATTCGTAGAATGTCTTCTTCTTTTTTTTTTTTATACGTTCCTTATGTTGATTGTCCATTCGTGCTGGAAATTAGGAAAAGCTTATGTTTGTGCATTTGTGCTGCAAAGTAGTAATTATAAATGAATCTCTTCGATTACTGTTCTTTTTCTGAGTTTTATTTTTATCATGATTTTATTATTAACTGATTTTCATGTGCCATAGGTTGGAGCACATACTGAGGTAGAACTTGAAGATCGCAAACTCAGAATTGAGGATGCAAAGAACACTACATTTGCTGCTATGGAGGAAGGAGTGGTGCCTGGTGGTGGTGCCACATATGTACATCTCTCAGAATTTATTCCTACCATAAAGAATTCTATGGAAGATTTAGATGAGCAAATTGGTGCTGACCTTGTAGCAAAGGTGAGAGCCTCCTTTTCTCACCTTTACTCACACATACAAATAGGCACACTATCAATCCACATGCACATATACACGCCCACATGGCCCCTATAGGCATCTATCTGTATATAGGGCAAGAAAGAGGAGAAAAGTCCACAGTGTTGCCGAGTCTTTTCACTCTTTGTTGTTGTACCAATCATCCAATGTTCAGTTTTCACTCTGGTTAGACCTTATGTTGAACAACAGGCAACATCAGTTGAGTCAGTAATGGTTCTATGGTTAGACCTTATGTTAAACAACAGGTAACATCAGTTGAGTCAGTACGCTCTCGATGTTCTTACCAACACGGAATTGCAATTTTCTAGCAAGCACAAACAGAAAAAGCCGAAGCTACTTCTCGGAAAAATCATTACGCGATTGGCCTCTTTCATTGGATTTGAAAGTCTTTAGCTGCTACAATCCATTGATTAGGGGGTTAAAATTTTATTTAATGGCGTTGTCAAGTCAACTTTAATTAAAAAGCATATAGTTTGAACTTTGGATAGGAGATAGCATAAGGCTTGTCTGATATCATTTGTGTTCGTAGAAATTCAATTGTTGAGTTTATATGGTGAATTAAATTGGCAAAGATATTGAAACGAAAGATATATTTCAAATTTCATTTTTATGTTGAAATTTTAGCTTAGTATGCAAAATTTTGAACTAAATTTTTATGCCTAAATGCGTTTTCTTTGTATAAAAATTTAATATTTCAGTTATGCCTTGTTGAAGGCCTATACCTTTTTCATGCAAAAAAAATCTGTCAATGTCGAATGCAGGCTCTACTTGCTCCTGCAAAAGCAATTGCAACTAATGCAGGGGATGATGGAGAAGTTGTTGTGGAGAAGACTAAACGTTCTGATTGGAGAGTTGGGTACAATGCAATGACAGGAAACTATGAAGATCTCCCAGATGCGGGAGTTATAGATCCTTGTAGGGTTTCAAGATGTGCCCTTCAAATTGCAGCCTCCATTGCCGGAGTGGTTCTTACAACTCAAGCTGTATTGGTGGAGAAAACAAAGAAGAAAAAGCCAGCTGTTCCTTTTGTTCCGGGAATAACTCCTCAGTGAATACAGTCAAGAGAGTTGCATGAAAGCTGAGGAAGAGGCGAACTGGAATTTCGTATCCCATGCTGTGCAACCAAGCTTCGGAACTCAGGTACAAGTTCTTGTGGATATGATATGAAGATGAAACAAGCTTTGAGCGCTGTGACAAAGAATCTGTTAGGAATCGGAATTTTATACATGAGGTTGAACATATACTATCAGGATTTTGTATACGTTCACGGCCAGCCTTTCAGTTGATATGTTTTTGCCCAAGTTGTATACTGTGTTCCTACCAATCATCTATAAACAGTCGTTGCCTGTACATTTGCTCTTGTACTTGTTACTGATAAAATAGACAATGAAAACCGTCGTTTTTGGATTGAAATCCGAACGTTAGTTGAGCAGGTACAACAACAATTAACCCATTACTTAACAAAGAGTAATGCCAGGATGCATACAACCATCATCCAATAAGATATCACCAATATCTAGCGGAGGTGTAGCAACAAAAGCAATAATAAATACAGAAATTGCAGTCAATAAAGTAGGGATCATCAAAACACCAAACCATCCAATGTAAAGACGGTTTTTAGTGTTGGTTATCCAATTACAAATTCGTCACTTGCCATGTCAAATTGTCTACTAATGTAGTATTAAAATATGGTCTTTCTAGCATTTTCTTCGAAAATGTTACTCTTACTTAATGGAACCTACTTCCATAGCTTTTTAGCTAAAATGGTCATTGAGATTGACATAATTCATCACTTTGATCATTGAGATTTAAAGTAGATAGAAGTGGTCCCAAAGATTGTCCACAGTCAATTATTTTGATCATTTCGTAAAAAAATTTTGTTAACTGTGGACAATCTTAAGGACCACTTTTATTGATTTTAAATCTCACCGATCAAAATGAAGAGTTATGTTAATCTCATGAACTATTTTGGCTAAAATGCATACTTGTATTGGTGGGTGGGCCTTACTTCTATTAGAGAAATCTCTCGTACAAATGTGGCAAAAAAAATGTGATAACTTATAATATACGTAACATTACTCATTATTTAATGGAAGTTAACAAAAGGCTACTCTTATCATATTTGTATCATCTATCTAATAGAGATGGAACCCACATGTGTTGGTGGGTTTTACCTCTATTAGAAAAATGGTATAAATATGGTATGAAAAATGTGATAAGTGTAGCATTACTCAGAAAGTTAAAACTATATATGACTTTGCATCGAATTTGAATCATTCTTTGCTTTGTTGAGTTGATAAGAAGACGCCATAACGAAAAGCATGCAGAAATCTAAACTGGAGTTTTAGTAAAAAGAATCTCCAACCGTATCACCCAAAGCCATCCTTTTCTCTTCCTTCATCCCTTCACAAAACTTGCCTAGCTATACATAAACTATACATATATATATATATATATATATGTATGTATATATCCTCCCCTTCTTCTTTCCTGGGAAAACAAAATCTCGTTTGAATTCCGAAAAATGTCACTGCAGGCTCATCGTCCTCGTGTTACTGTCAACGGAATAAGAAGAATGAGAACACACCGTTACTTCTGGTGCCAACATTGCCAACGTACCATAAGGATTGCCTCTTCCAACCCATATACAATTCTATGTCCCTACTGCTCCACCGAGTTCAACCATGAGCTCGATGTATCAAATCCTAGGCTTGTCGATCATCTTATTACAGGCCTAGAACAACCACCCTCCCCCGCTGCCCGGTTACTGGAGTCCTTGTCTCTCGCCCTCGATTCAAGGCATCCAAGAGCTCGATGGCAGACGGAAAACGACGAAGAACGAGTGTCTTGGATCACCCTCCGATTTGATAGACCACCTCGAACTCCGCGACTCCAAGTTTCTGCATCATCAGAAAACGTTGTGCCTCAACCAAATTATAGTCGCGAGGATGGCGCTTTTGAGGATGCGGTAAGAGATTTTACTGGAGAGACTTGGACTGTTGAGAATGACCGTCCAGGTCCCCCTCCGGCAGCAACTTCTGCCATTCGAGCTTTGCCATTGGTGACAGTCTCGGAAGGGCAGTTAGCGAACGAGCCCAGTTGCCCCGTGTGCAAGGAAGCGTTCGAGGTTGGTGGGGAAGTGAGGGAGATGCCATGCAAGCACGTCTACCATTCTGATTGCATACTCCCTTGGCTTCACATACACAATACTTGTCCGGTTTGCCGCTACGAGCTTCGAGCAGCCGGCAGCTGTAACCCTTATGACGATTACTATGGAGATGAGGAGGAGATGACAGAAAGCCCAAATATTTGGGGGTGGTGGAATCACTTCATATCTTTCTGGCCATTTTCTGCATTGGTTAATTGGGCGCAACGTTACTTGGATAATCAACAACGTACTGGAGGTAATTTTCTACTTTGAAGTTTGAACATTTTAGATTACGAGCTGCAAATAGTATTAAAATATCGGTATCAGTAGAAATATCAATATGCATATTTATGAAAATATTGATAGATGTATCAATATCGATCGTTTTTTATGAAAATGATGAAAATTTGCTAAGAAAAACTGGTTTAGACAAAATATAAGAAAATTTCCGATATTTAACCGATATGTTAGAAACATCGATAAAATCTGTCGATTATTTAAGAGTGATATGGATTGAAGTTTAGACTTCATCCTCTTTCTATATATTTATCTGATGGTTTCGATATCTTCACCTAAAATAAATATCGACCATATCAAAAAAATTTCAAACAATAATTGCAAGTTGAAATGAAAATTCCGATTCCGATGTTTATATATATATATATATATATATATATATGTATGTATGTATGTATGTATGTATGTATGTATGTATATATTTTATTTTTTTTAAATGAGCTTATTTGTCTTCTGTTGTTGATCATCATGATATCGTGCAGACAGAACCTGGTGGTCCCTCTTGGATGATTCTATAGGACATTTGTTCCTTAATTGAGCTGGTAAACCGCAAAACTTGTTACAAAAAATTGTGAATTACTTTTCATCAAGCACTCACTGGAAGATCGTATGGTTTGTTTGATACTGCTTTTAAAATAATTGAAAATATTTTTAGATTAAATACTTATGAGTTTTAAAAGCACTGCTTCTTGCAAAGAGGTATCAATTGCATGAAGCAATAAAGTGTTTTTTTTCATAATTCATTTGCAATTTTACTAAGAATTGGTTCTAAAAGCACTTTTAACCATTTTAAAAGAATTTCCAAACGAGCTTTTAATTTGGCAGGTAAATCTGAACTAATAAATAAGAAAATTAGAAAATTTTGTTGGTATTAAACTTTTCTTTTTCCTTTTATTTTTCGTTTTGTCTAATTCTGTTATGTATTAATCCTCCACTATTTTCATTTCTTGTATTTGTTGCAGTTTCTTTTTAGAACAGATTGTACAATTTGGAGCACTTTTAATTAGTTTGATGGATTCAATTTATCAAAGATTTGTGACATTTCCATAAGAAATCAGAAGGAAAAAAGTATGCTTGTTCATTGGCTCTCTAAGATTTATACAATCAACCTACTTAGTAATTAATGAGACTGTTGTTGTTGTTCGGTCCTCAATTAACATTGTACATAAACTAAAGAAAAGAAATATACCTCTATGATCTCTAATTCCATTATTCATATATATTATTGCTTCTCTCTATCTTTTTCCTTTTGGAAAAAAAAATTACACATAAGACAATATGTCAATTTCAAATTCCTTAAACCAAAATTAAAACTAGCTAGCTCTTAGTCTAGTTAATAAAACATCATACATGTGACATCCCACATCGCCCAGGGGTGATCCTTAAATATATATTCCCATCCCTACCTAGCACGAGGTCTTTTGGGAGCTCACTGGCTTCGGGTTCCATGGGAACTTCGAAGTTAAGCGAGTAGCGCGCGAGAGCATTCCCAGGATGGGTGACCCATCGGGAAGTTCTCGTGTGAGTTCCTAAAAACAAAACCATGAGAGCGTGGTCAGGGCCCAAAGCAGACAATATCGTGCTACGGTGGTGGAGCGGGGCGGGGAAGTGATCCGCCCCGGGCCGGGATGTGACAATTTGATATCAGAGCCTAACCCTGGCCGTGGTGTGCCGACGAGGACGTCGGGCCCCTAAGGGGGGTGGATTGTGACATCCCACATCGCCCAGGGGTGATCCTTAAATATATATTCTCATCCCTACCTAGAACGAGGCCTTTTGGGAGCTCACTGGCTTCGGGTTTCATGGGAACTCCGAAGTTAAGCGAGTAGCGCGCGAGAGTATTCCCAGGATGGGTGACCCATCGGGAAGTTCTCGTGTGAGTTCCTAAAAACAAAACCGTGAGGGCGTGGTTGGGGCTCAAAGCGGACAATATCGTGCTACGGTGGTGGAGCGGGCCCGGGAAGTGATCCGTCCCGGACCGGGATGTGACAATACATGCATTTTTTCCAAGGCTAACTATGTTTGAGGTGATTTTTAAAATGGGTCATGAGGTTTAGTTTTCTCACATTGCTCCCTAAGTTTTTCAAGTTCTATTTTAGTGATTGTAGTGCAAATGTGGTTTACATGTCATTGCAAGTGTATTCAGTTGAGATTTTGAGGGATTTTAATGAAGTTTCTAGAAATTCTATGTAAAATTTTGAGTGAATTTTCTCAAATTCTCAAGGGCAGATGTGAGATTTAAGAATGCTCTATGAAACCTCTCTAATTCCCTTGAATTTCCCAACTTTTTAAAATCTATTAAATCAATTTCTAATTGAATAAACCTGGAATGTTATAAACTCATTTAAAATTCTTATTGTATACACCTAAACTTTCAAGAGAATTCTTTAAAATTCTAATTGAATACCCCTAAATTTCTAAAAAGAATTAAAATCACTTAAAATCCCAATTGAATACATCCCCAAAATTTATAGGGATTTCATGCTCACTTTGTCATCAATTTAATAAAGATTCAAATAATTTATTACACAAAATGTGTAAAAAGAGTATTGCTAGGTAGACTAAATTTGGAAAATAAATGATGTGTCACCAATAAAAAAATAAGCAAGTTAAGCAACACTTAAGTAATAATCCAATCATCAACTTCCATGTCTTCTAGGGGTGTAGTCAAATGAGGATTTTAAAGGATTTTAAAAGACTTTAGAATCATGGTGTAGTCAACTAGGATTTTAAAAGATTTTAAAGAATCAATTCAAATACAGGGGTAATCAATTAAAGGATTTTTATAGAGTCCATGCAAATTTACAGATATTCAAAAATTCATAGATTTTGAAGAATTTCTTTCAATAAGAGATTTTGCAGGATTTGAGAATAGATTATAGGCATAACAAAATCCTACCTCCACCCCTAGATTTCTTTTCAACCCCCTCGCTCTTTCTCTCTCTCTCTCTCCATTACGCAACTCGACCTTTCTTTCTCACTCTCTATTTTCTTCCAGATATAGAACATGCCAACCTGATTTCCTTTCATGTTCATCCGTCATTGTCTCAGTTGCAAACTTGAAACTTTTGAATTGTACAATATGTCACATCCCGGTCCGAAAGGGACCACTTCCCGGGCCCGCTCCACTACCTTAGCATGATATTATCCGCTTTAGACCCCCAGCACACCCTTACGGTTTTGTTTCTGAGAACTCACACGAGAATTTCCCGATGGGTCACCCATCTTGGGAATGCTCTTGCGCGCTACTCTCTTAACTTCGGAGTTTCGATGGAACCCGAAGCCAGTGAGCTCACAAAAGGCCTCGTGCTAGGTAGGGATGAGAATATACATATAAGGATCACTCCCCTGGGTGATGTGGGATCTTACCAGCCTAGAGGGGACCACTTCCCGGGCCCGCTCCACCACCGTAGCACGATATTGTCCGCTTTGGGCCCTCAGCACACCCTCACGGTTTTGTTTCTAGGAACTCACACGAGACCTTCCCGATGGATCACCCATCCTGGGAATGCTCTCGCGCGCTACTCACTTAACTTCAAAGTTTCGATGGAACCCGAAGCCAGTGAGCTCCCAAAAGGCCTCGTGCTAGGTAGGGATGGGAATATACATAGAAGGATCATTCCCTTGAGTGATGTGGGATCTTACAATCCACCCCCCTTAAGGGTCCGACGTCCTCGTTGGCACATCACGGCCAAGGTTAGGCTCTGATACCAAATTTCACATCTCGGCCCGAGGGGGACCACTTCCCGGGCCCGCTCGACCACCGTAGCACGATATTGTCCGCTTTGGGCTTACCATTCCCTCACGGTTTTGTTTTTGGGAACTCACGAGCAACTTCCCAGTGGGTCACCCATCATTGGATTGCTCTAGCTCCCTTCTCGCTTAACTTCGGAGTTCCTACGAAACCCGAAGCCAGTGAGCTCCCAAAATGCCTCGTGCTTGGTAGGCATAGGAATATACATATCAGGATCACTCCCCTGGGTGATGTGGGATCTTACACAATATTTTTTGAATTTTTTATTTCCTTTAGATTGGATTGTGCAATAGTATTTCCTATAATCCTTTGATGGGAAGTGTTAATGGCTACTAGTAATTCTTGTAATGATTATGCATTCTATTTGAAGGTGTTAATTTTTTACCATGTTAATTGAAAACTCTTGGAAATTACTACTAAGAATCTTATTGCCAATTCAAGCTTTTTGTTCTTTTTCGTGTAATCATGTTAGTGTAAGGGTGCAAGCATCTTCCAAAGCCTATTATATTGGTATTTATATTGGTAACTGTACTTAGACTGAACAACATATTATGAACTAATCAATTGTTGAGGAAAAAGGGTTAATTTTGAGACATTTGATTTAAGAAGCACTACTTGTTTTGGTTAGTTAAAATTATTTTTCGTAAAGAAATCACAATTCAAATGAGAAGGGGAAAGAAAAGACATATTTGATTCGTTTATATTTTCATATCAATATATATATATATATATATATATGTTTATGTCTTTTTCAGATTGTGCACTGAGAAAAGAATTTAAATTGTAGGAGTAAAAAAACAATCCTAAGAAATCCATGAAAGAAATCCTTACAAATTTATAGAAATCCATAATAATTTGTCAAAATCCATATGGAATTGTAGAATCTATTAAAATCCTTTGAAATCTGTCACTTAAAAAAGTCCATTAAAATCTCTTTGTTTACAAAATTTAGTCTCCCTAATATTACCCTTAAAATAGATACAATCAAAATCTTACAAGACAATGTGAGAAAATTAAGCCCATTTTAAAAATCACCCGATACATAGAAGTTGTTCAATGTAGCTACCTCCTTTCTCTATCTCTCACTTTTAACTTTTATTTAATTTTCTTGAAATACTAATTGAACATTGACTGTCAACCAAATCCTATTAAAATTACCATTCTAACCCTATAATCAAAACTGAACAGAAATTAAAAAAAAAGAGTAATGTTATTCATACCATATTTTTGTTCTACATTTTCATATCATCTTAGGTGGTATTTAATGTGGACAGCCACATCATTTGAATTAATCAGATTTTTAAATTTAGTTCATTATTTAATAAATTAATAATTAAGAAAAACTAGTTAATTAAATGATGATTGTGGTATACGAGGAGTTTTTATCCTCTCTTTCCTTGGGTTTTGCAAATTTTTCAAATGATGTGACTTTCACATCAGATGCCACTTAAGATAGTATAGAAATATAGTATCAAAACATGATAAGAATATCATTACTCACAGACAGAATATAATTTCACACAAACCAATCCCACAAGTGATTCTATCTAATATTAAAAAATAAAAAATAATAATAAATTGCTCTCCCCTCTCTCGCCACCCACTCCCACATTCTCTCTCTCCTTTCATTTTAAAAATTATAAAAAAAAAATGTTCGAGCATATGCTAGTATTTTTATACAACGGTATTATTTGCATTGAAAGATTAGGCTAAATGATAACACACCCTCTCTGTATTATGAAAAACAACTCGTATCCTCTCAGTTGTGTATATCCTGCCTGTATCTGAAAATCTTACTTTCTTGGACTTAAGTTACGCTTTTGACTTGAGTTACGCTTTTGATTTGCGAAGCGGGGACCTTGCTGAGCTTGATGCTTGTTGCCCGCGTCTCCGGCGTCTTTGGGTGCTGGACTTGGTCGAAGACAATGAGTTGGAGGCTGTAGGATCTAACTGTCCTTTACTTGAGGAACTCCGTGTTTTCGCTTGTCATCCTGACATTATCCGCGAGGTGACTGAATCCGGGTTTGTTGCTGTGTCTTATGGCTGCAGAAAACTCCGCTGCATCCTCTACTTCTGTTGTCAGATGGCTAATGCCGCTGTCGCAACCGTTGTACAAAACTGCGCTGATATCGCCCACTTTTGTCTCAGCGTAATGATCCCAAGCCAACCGGAATACCTAACAAACGAGCCTCTGGACGAGGGTTTTAGTGCAGTGGTGAAGAATTGCATTAAACTCCAATGGCTTTCAGTGTCAGGTTTGTTGATCGATCGTGCCTTTGAGTACATTGGGAGGTATGCTAAGAATTTGGAAACGCTTTCAGTTCTAGCGCCCGCGGGAAAAAAGCGATTGGGGAACACCATTGTGTGCTGAAAGGTTGTCCAAAGCTCAAGAAACTTGAGATAAGGGAGTGCCCGTTTGGGATGTAGCCTTGCTCTCGGGTATAGAGAAGTACGAATCTGTGAGGTCATTTTGGATATTGGCCTGCAATGTGACAATGGCCGCCTGCCGGTTATTGGCAAGTGACGGGGGGAATGATGACCGTCTGGCTGATAAAGTTTATGTTTACCGTTCAGTTGCTGGGCCGAGAAGGGATGCCCCGCCTTTTGTTCTCAGTTTCTGAAGATTCGAAACTCTTACCCTACGTTTTGAATCTTACAGAGTACGTGGTTGCATGTTCTTCAAGTATCCTGCTTGGGGCTGAAACTTGCTTCAGTGGGTCGAGTGATAGAGAAGTTATCGACAGCCTTCCAGCTACTGGGAGCGCGTCTTGCTGCGTTGTTTGAAGCATGTCTAGTCTCATTAACAACGGCCTTGCCTTCCAACGTGGCTGCAGAAAAACCTGCCTGGAATATGTTGCTTCTGCTGTTGAGAATAGCAGCGGACCGCGGTTCATATCGAAGGCCTATGCCATTGTGATTAGTGAAGCGAATTACAGACAAGGTGATCGTGTCATGGATGATGAGGACGGACATGGAAGAAGATGTATTGCTTGTGCACTGGTTCTCACCTCTTATTCGATCAAAGCCTCAAAGTCAGCCGAGCTAGGGTTTAGGGTTTAGGGTTTTCAATTTATTTATATTTTGGTTTGTGACGGTCCGTCTCTGAACAGTTTACAATATAAGCCGCTTGCTCAGGACTCCAAGCATATAAATAATAGATACAAATTTTCAAGTATATACAATTGAATTGCATTAAATATTAAACAATTTATGAGAGACAATGTTCGTTAGCTTGGACTGGATTTAGTCCAAATCATACAAACTTAACTACTATGCACCTACATTCAAAATTTCCATATTTATCTTCTAATTTACATCATTATTTTTTTTTTCTTCAAACTTTTGTCGATATCGACATTTTATCGATACCTCGGTCGAAGCTTCCATGTTTTTGGATCTCCGACAATTTCCGCAACTACAGATATTTAAGACGACCTTAATCAACCGAACCAACAGAACAGATGAAAGATGAGGAGTCCTGAAAATTCCAACAACCAGATCTCCTTGTAGAAAGCTCCTGCTGATGAAGCTGCAAAAAGCACTCATCAGGTGACCAACTTACATATCAAAAGTTAAAAGTCCAAGAATTTTACACGCCAAGCATCGAATATCGCATACAAAAAATCATGTACACAAATTGAATAAAGATACGTCCATGGATGCATGATTCATCTAAACAAACGTTTGCTTTTTGTCTCGGTTGTCAAATGGTTATACCATTCTTAAGTTATAATAGCACAGAAGAGAGTTTCGTTGCTCTTTAAAACTCCATCTCCATATACATTTGTATTGAATGGATCAGGTCAGTGTTAAAGTTCCATTTCCGATTGAGATTCATAATCACAAAAAGTAGATTCACCAACCAAAACTCAAAACTGATTCTCGTGTCTCCGTTAAGGTTGCACCAAATTTTAAATTTTTATAGATTCAATCAAATAAGATCCAAGATCTGCTTAAAATTTGTGTTTCGTACAAAAGTTCATATACTCATAAATGTTTATGCTTATATGAGTTACCTATGTGCTTTGCACAGTTGAACATAAGATGTACTGTCAAATGAACTATTCCACTGAAAAGCCAATCAAATTTTAGAAGAAATAACCAGATTCAGAATTATTAACTGTTAAGTAACTTACTTGAGGAAGGTGATGGAGATATTGAGTCTTGTGGACTTCCCTTGTTTCCGGGACTGGAAGCATAGAACGTTATAGGTGCAGGTGGCACATGTGGGGACAATTGAGATGAGGGACTCAGAGAAGGCGAATAAGGGGAACCATTAGTAGCATAGGTTGGAGGAGCAATGGGGTTAGAACGAGAAGTTGGTGAGGAGATTGGAGGAATTCTAGAACCGTGATATGGACATGGAGGTGGATGTGCAGGTACCTTGGATGGTGCTGGTGGGAGATGATGAATCTCAGGTGAGGGTGCAGGGGCGAGAAGATGAATGCCAGGTGAGGGTGCAAAGGGGAGGTGATGAATGTCAGGGGAGGGTGCCGGGGGGAGAAGATGAATGTCTGGTAAGGGCGCTGGTGGGAGATGATGAATGTCAGGTGACAGTGCAGGTGGAAGATAATGACCGTGAGGTGACGGTTCTGGAGAGTGAACCGGTGAAGCAGGATATGGAGAAATTGATGACTCTGGAGATGGAGCTGGTGAAGAAGTAGGCTCTGGAGATGGAGCCGGTGAAGGAGTAGGCTCTGGAGATGGAGCTGGTGAAGGAGTTGGAGAGGTTGCAACGGGTGCACCCTTTGGATAAGAAGATAAACTGATACTTTTAACTTTACCAAAGACTGTGTTATTAAGACCCAGATTTTTTGCAGGGGAACCTTTGATTGTTTGAACCAACTGCTTCAATCTCTGTGGCAAAATGACCCCTACATCAGACACGAGAGATGCCTGAACCACAACTGGGGGCGCTTTAGTTGAACCTATTCCGTTTATAATTCGCAAAAATACATCCTGCAAAATGAGAAAAAAATTGCAGTTAATAAAAAAAATACAATGTAAAATCTGAGACCATCAACTAGTACTAGATTGCTCAATCTGATATTTTCGGACCTTAACAACTATGAAAATCCAGATGGACATTTAAATTTGGACTACACTCAATGGCAAATACACTATCCTATTTCCTTGATTGTTAATAAATTATGCTTCCTATTGCATAATTGAACAAGTCTTGCATAGACTCAAATATGGTAAGAAACTTGAATCCCAGAATTTTCGAAACTAAAATAACTGTCAATCCCACGTTCTAACCACATTTTACGAAATAGTGCTAAGCCAATGAACCTTATACATCAATAGCCCAAAAAGCCACGCCTAAAGAGAAATGTGCAAAAAGTTGCCAGAATAGTGTTATACCTCAGAAGGCCTCAGATGCAATCCAAACTTCAACTGCTCATTTAACTCAACAAAATTTTCCACTATGTCCGATATAGAATTATTGAGAGTAAAATTAAATAAAATCTGGGGTTTCTGCCAGATTGAAGCTGATTGCACAGGAATCACAGTAATTCCCCCGGGATATTTGAGAATCTCAAACATAGATGGCTGCCCAAAAATTGATGCTGTCAATGTAAGATTGGATTGCTTAAGGAATAGTTCAACTAAAGATGACCTCAGCACACTTAAGTACACTGGATCTATAGGAACATTTATTGGATCAGAAAGAGCACCGAACACTACATCTGTCAGATCAGATGCATCAAATTGGTGCATGGACAAGATAGCCACCTGTTGACAACAAGCAGACTTCAGTTTGTTGCTTCACTTTGTACGAAAAGCAATATGATACGGGCTACAATAGCAAAAGATTAAAACTGTACCTTTGTGCCTGGGACACCTATTTCTCCGTTGATATCATATTCTAATCTTCGGACATGTGGAACAAGGTCCGTAACTGGCCTTTCCAGTCTGAAGTATGCCTGAACTGTGGCTGGAAAAAGATAAATAGATATATAAGCTTTCACCTATTCATTTCGGTCATCACGAATTTATGCGACAGAAATTAGAAACCATAAAGTTCAATAATAAATTAACAACAAAAAGGTTAAAGCAATAACAATTAAAGAACAAGCATGTTACCTAATCAACAAAAATACTAACACAATTTAAAACCATTCGCTAGATTTCCAATTATCTTTCAACTTCTTAAATGCATTAAATGAATTTTGTTTTGGGCCTGTGAAAAGGTTGTTATTAGGTACATGATTATAGTATGGAACGTAACAATACAGTATTGATTATAGTAACGCAGCATTGGATAATTTAGGATATGATATAGTATGGAACGTACAAATGCATTACTTAAATCAGTTTGTCCTAGCTCAGCAGCAATTATCTCCAATAATACTAGCATTTGCCTACACACTCTGTGTATGAACACATTTTTTTAGAAAATGAGAAGGAGAGAGGGAGAGAGAAAAGAGAGAGAACGTGGGGGGAGTGGGAGGTTTTTATTTTTGGTTTTTTTTTTTTAATTTGAAATATTAGAGATATTTTAATATCACCTGTAGGTGAAGCTTCAATAAAAAACAGTAAAATTTGGACCTATGAAATTACATTATTGCCCATCATTTATTTTGTGTGATAGAAGACTAAGTTGTCTTTTCACCCTCTTTTGGTTGACAAAAAGGATTTCATTAATTAAAAAAGATTAGCAGGTTGGTGAACATGTATTATAGATCCTAAATTTGAACATTGTACTTTTTTTATGGAAACATATGTAAATCATATCTTCCCTTACTATAATCATGTACTATATCATCCAATCTTGCGTGTCCACTATCCAGCCTCTGCAGTCTGCACCAACCGTCATTAGGAGCCTCTTTGATTTTTGGAGTTTAAGGTAAGATTCAGTGAGTTTCAGGTTTGTATCCCAAGACCGAAAACATAGGGGTTTTCTTAGACATCTGAGGTGTCCAATTTGGAAGTTGAGAGAGTTCATTACACTTGGTGAAGTTTTTGTCCTTCCACTCAACATTACTCTCGAGAAAATCATATTTTAGTTATTTTTAAAAGAGATGTTGAGAAAAGACAAGGAGTACTTGGAGCTAACAGAAGACTAGGCCCAAAACCAACCGCAGTGGCGTTCTAGGATTCATACACCCACCCCCACTTAGTGGGATAAGGCTTTGTTGTCGTTGTTGTTGTTGTTAAAAGAGATATTAAATCATATATTTGAAGCATAACCTTGTGTTGATCCTATCGTATTTTAGTCATGGCAGGACATGTCTTATTTATTGGAATTGCATGACGCCTAACATGCTAATTTGCTAATTACTAATATATTTTATTTATATACTTATGCCAGTGCTAAAAGTTATATTATGTGCTTGATCTATATTTTATTTTATGTAATTGTTAGGAGGCGGCAAGTTCCATTGTGTGTGTTGAGCTTTACTTTTGGTTTTGCATTTGAGTTCAGTTGCTTTGCTTGGATTTCCTAACAAACCGCTCCTCGAATCATAGATTTGAAAAATGATGAGGATTATTCTTAAGATTATTATTATTATTAATATTGTGATTATGATATGTTTATTATGACTACTACTATTATTATTCCGATGTGAAATTAAATACTTATCAAAATGTAGTTATAAAAGTATACAAACAACAATAAACAAGCAGTCCACAAAAGATATGACAATAAAGTCTATCAGCCAGTTAGTTCAAGATTATGCAGCACGAACACGGTATAAAAGCACAACATGCTAAGACTCAGAAGCCACGGATCGCATTAATAATGAGAAGAGGTGTATCTCTGATTCAATTTTATATTATTCTACACTTCAGTCAAAATTACCTTAAAAACAACATTATAAACAAGATTCAAAGAGGCCAACCATGGTACCAACAAGGCAACAAGGCAATAAAACAGACTTAAGTCAAAATCACAGTTCTAGCTCCTATATTAATTTACACTTCATCCCACCTTATATTTTTGTTTTCTTGTCCTTTTTACTCTTAGACTGCTGACCCCACTTAGTGGGAAAAGGCTTTGTTGTTGTTGTCCTTTTTACTCGTAGACTGCTCAGAGTTCGTCTACCATAAATCTATTGACTTAAATATGAGACTGAGCATACAGTGATATACAAGGATATCACGACTCCCAAAGCCATAGCTACTAAGTTACTAACGTGGGCATGTCATCGACTGCATCTGTACATCTTGATTAGAAAATATGCACCCTCTTTGTAGATTATAAACACAAGACTAAGCTCATTGGGACAACTCTAAAACTAAAGCTTCTTTCAAAAAAAAAGAAAAGAAAAAAAAGACGTGCCTATGGTAGTGCACGGATCAGAAATTAAAAGGAGATAATAAAAACAGGTAATCCAAAGTCAAAGAATTGATGTCAAATGCATTTGTTTGGGTCAAATGTTATCAAGAGTCTTTTTATTTGGGTCTTAGGAAAATACAATGTCCTTATCCTAACAAATTTGGCCTAAGTTCTATGGAACTTTAAAGTCCTTCATCCAAACACACCCTAACTGTTCTAGGAATCTCCTTTTATTAATGAGTATACTAATATTTCTAAAAGTTCTATGAGTCCTATAGGACTTTAATGTGTCTTTCTATTTCTTGTAGTCATTGAATGTTCTATTTGAAGCCTATATCATTTCCTATTTTGAAGGTATAAATCCATTTCCTTTCTTACTTGTGAGGAAAAAAAAAAGTTAATTTTCTTGAGTCCTTGACTGTCTAACATTTATTATTGTCAGTTCTTTCTACGAACCAACACCAGAGAAAACGTATCAGAATAAAATAGACCACTACCTTTGTAAATCCACAATGTTCATAAACTGCTATTTCCACTAAAGGTAAACAGGTGGTTCGACTACATGACAGCAGATTACATGGTGAAACATCCAATTATCAGACGATTTGCACTTCTGCAGTCGACTACAGAATCCTCATCATTGTCAATGCACAGTAAAGAACATATAGCTCTTGATATCAAGCAGAATAGTAGTATGGACATGGCAGGATATTAGAGTACTTCCAACCATATAGTAGTACAATCCACCGCATTCAGAAAAGAGAGCATTTTGGGGAGTATGAAATTTATATGGGTGTTGATGTCTAAATAGATCCATCGAAGGTAAGCGTCATAAGTGCTCCTAAATTCACCTAATTCAAGGGGAACACTCTGTATTTAGCAAATGTGAACATGATATTCCTTTTTCATGATTTACCCAGATGCAGACACATCTAACGTTTATAAAGATAATGTATAGGAAATTAGAACACACTGCAGAAGAGTGCGAGCACGAGCACAAGATTACCATACATCATGAATCCGTGATAGGACCAATCTCTTTCCCACCCATCCTAAATTGAAAGTGAACTTCATTCCATATCCGCAAAACACCATGAAAACATAACTACTTAATCAGGAAGTGAAATCAAAATGATCAAGACTCGACAACTCACTCTAGTTACTCAATTCAATCCATACCTCGTATGCTTATGTGAGAATAATAGTACAGAAATAAAAACGTTGACCGTTCATTAATTTGGGCAACAACATGTTCCGGACAAACAGCATTAACAAAAGTTCCTCCCCTATTTACTATTGGAATGTTATGATTAGCACTTAGTTGTTATATTACATATAGGACTTTTCTCAATGTACTAGCTAGCCACATGAGAAACACGAGGTATAATTCCCAATGAGTTTAACTATCCTCAATTATGCTTTTATATGCTAATCCTGTAGATTGTAATTCAGTTCACCATTTATTCCGATATTATATATATGTTTATTCTGTTTTAGCTAAAGATCTTATACATTTTTTTGCACATTCTCTTTACTTCCGGAATGCAAGAATATTGAATCCTCTTAATAGTTAGTCAGCCGGCTGTATACTGTATGCTAACATTAAATTCACATTGACAATCGTTTCGTGAAACTTGTATACGCCAGACAGTATATGTTGGAAGCACAAGTTATAAAAAGAATGTTTCTTAACTTTCTTTAATTAAGATGTGAAAATCTTTAAACTTGCTATCCCCCACCACATATGTAAGTAGTCAAGTACTAAACTTTTGGTTGGAATTAAACGAAATTGTTATCAGACGAGAGGCATTTTCGATGCAAGGGTTGGATATAGTCTATAAAAAAGGTGCATTGCCCATATCCTATAAATAGCCAGGTGAGTCAAGAGAAACATTGCAAGCACTGAATTATACAACACAGAGAAATCCCACTTGCCCCTTTCCAAAAATAATCACAAAACCCCAATTTTTATCTGAAAAAGCACAAAAATCCCTAATTACTAGTTAAATCCATTTGAATTTGGATAGCTGAAACTACCAAACATCTACACAAAACCCATTTGCTTCAAACCTCCAGAAACCCCAAATGTGTACACTAAACCCAAATATTACCACATACCAATTTGCTCAAAACATCAGCAATACCTAATTAATTCAAAAAAATGAATAATCAAATTGAAGTGAAGCAAAAAAACACAGTAGAGAGAGCAAGAGAGAGGGGAATGTGGACATACCACTGAGCTTAATTTCCTCTTTGGCATCAAACTGGGAGTTATTTGCATAGTAATGTGGGATCCAGAAGATCCCAGAGAGTAAAATTGAGAAGCTGAGGATCAAAACGGCGACGCATCGGAAGCTCAGCTCTTTGCCGATTTTCCTGAATACCACCGAACACCGCGGACAGATGAGTCCCGAAGAATTCTGAGCCTCCTGAGTCTGCCGCTGCCGTTGCTGCTGCTGCTGCTGCTCCTGCAGATTTGCTTCACTCTTCCCCATTCGAAGAGCATCTGGGATTTCCCCTCTTTCTCTCTCTAAAGAGTACAAAAACGACAGGAGAGAGGAAGAAGAAGAAGAAGATGATGAAGAAGATGTGAGAGACTAGTGTTCATGGTGGGTATTGTTGCCCTGTTTAAACCATTTACAAGGACAAACTACTATCTTTTACTCTCTCTCTCTCCCTCCCTCTCCTCGTTTTTTACTCTCTCTCTCTCTCTCTCTCATCTATACACTGTCACTCGCTAATCACGTACATTACGACTTCGTAGTCACTGTCCATGTCTTCAGAGTTCTCAGACCAAGAACAAAAATAATGACATGTAAGTTTTAACGGTAAACGTATCTTATAATCTAAATCCTTCATTTTCTTTATGATATAAAAATTACTTTAAAAAAAATTACATTAATTTGAAGAAGGGAATGATTTTCATTAGTACGTGTCCAGCAAATCAAAATTTATGATAAGAAGTAATATCTTCATCGTAATCGGTATCCAAATGAAATGATTTTTTTATTTTTTGGAAATGACCTATAGATGATGTTAAAAGTAATAATGGTGTTTGAATAGTGAAATGATGTAACATCAATATGTAAAAAAGAATTACTTCTTAATATTAAGCAATGTTCTTGTTTAGTTTTTTTTTTTTTTTTTTTTTTTTTGGCTTTTTAGCTAGAATGGTCATTGTGATTGTCCATTGACCACGTCAATCATTTTAATCATTCTGTAAAAAATCTCTGTTAAATTGTTAAATTGAAGAAACCACCAATTCAAGGGGAGATGTTGATTTGACAAAAATGCTCTCAATAGAGATTTCTCATAGAATAACCAAAATGATTGACAGTGAACAATCTCATGAACCACTTCTATCGACCTTAAATTTCAGAGACAAAAGTAAGAATTATATCAACCTCAAGGACTATTCTGGATAAAAAGTCTATTTTTTTTAAGAGACTTGCAAAAAAGGGATTTGATAGATTCACATAAAGAGTTGTAATGTACCTAAGAACAAACAAGAAATTGAAAGATGAATGACCCGTTTAGAACTGCTCACGTACGAAGCACTTCTTTTCAAAACGTCCACATAACTTTAGCAAAAAAAGCACTTTCTTCACACCATAGCCTACTATTTCCTCAAGATTGTCAATTGGCCTCTTGCCAAAGTCCAAAAGTGGCCTTGGTGCCAAATTAGGATTTGTTACCAACACCATCAAAGAAAAAAAACAAAGAATAAAACCTAACATGGTTGATTAGTGCGGAGATTAATTGGCCCTTTAAAAGTCCCCTTTGGGGTTAAAAACAAAAGACACCAAGAAAAAGGGGGCACCTCCTCAATGATTCACTGTGTTTTTTCTCTCTTTTTATGTAAAGAAACAAGTATACGGTATACAATTTCTTCTTTCTGTAACGATTTTTTCTTTGCCCGGCGTTGCAGATGCTCGAAAAAGCGCCTGCATATATTACAATTGATTCAATAAAAAGATAGGGTTCATTTTTGAAACTTCTGCAAGCTAGGGTGTGCTTCAACTGGTCACACTATCTCTAGGAGGCTTCCCTTCGGAAAGAACATCCCGTCATCGCGACCTCACAAATGCAGAAGGGAGATGAGAGGCCTGCCACCTCTTGGCTTTGACCTGCAATCTTCTCCTAATTCACTTGTATATGTGTTGCATAAGGAACATGTGTCTCTGAAACTTTTCACATTGGCACTCTACCATTACCGCTGAAAACAAAACTAAACCATTGGGATGCGGCGTACGCCTTGCAAATTTTCTTAAAGGGAAGAACGATCACCGTGACCAGCAAACGATAAGAAAGATGAAGACTCCTGAAAGTTGCAATAACCGGATGTCCTTGTACAAAGGTCCTACCGCTAAAGCTGCAGCACAAAACACTTATTGTGTCATTAAATTGGATATCAGAAGTAAATATCAAATAGTTTGGCATGTCAAGCAAGGGAAACAGTAAACGAAATCGTGTAGTCACTTCAGAAAATGATAATGTCAATGGATGCACCTAACAAATGCAACATGTCAAGCAAGGGAAGTAGTAAACGAAATAATGTCAATGGATGCACCTAACAAATGCCTATAGTTCTCTAAGCTAACGGCATAGTGAAGAATATCCATGCCTTTCAAAATCTGCCACATGTACATTTGGCTTTCTGTCAATCGGGTCAGTCTTAAAATTCCATTGCCGATTGAGATTCATAACCATACAAAATTGATCCACTAATTCAATCTCAAACTTGATTCTCAAATTCCATTAAGGTTGCACCAAAGTCAGCTTGTAATGAATTCAATCCAACAATATCCAAAATCTGCTAAAAAAATATTCTTTTGTATACGAAATTCAAATCATTACAAATGTACGTACATGTATCAATCACCTATGTATTTTGTACATTTGAACCAGATTCAGATTCAATCAAAACCTGAGTAATCCCCACTTCAAAAATTAAGCCACAACATTTTTTTGGTCTATAAGTTTAACTTCTCGTAACATGCATTAGTAAAGCAAGTGAACTCTACTCTTACTCAAAAACCATGGCACCTGAAGTTGCAAAACTGACTGCTAACTGACTGCTAACGCTTCTTTTACAGAAAGACCTATTTCTATTAGGAAAAACCAATTTTAATAAATGACAAAATCATCGAAAATAGGCACTTAATTTCTAATTATAAGAGCACAGAATCATAAATTCCCATCCACCTGAACTCTGAGCCAGAATTCTATACCATTATAACACTTGAAAGACCATACACAAGAAACAACATAATATGTTAAATCAAAGACCATATATGCTACATCACAAGCAGGAGAGAAAAAAAAAAACGTATTTTGTAACTTACACGACAGGGATGGGCCAGGTGATGGAGACATCAAGTCTTGTGCAATTCCCTTGTCTTCTGGACTGGGAGCATAAGACACTACAGGAGCAGGTGAAACATGTGGGGACAGTTGAGATGAAGGTGGTGAGGAGGATGGCGGAATTCTAGGAGGATATGTAGGAGGAACAGTAGGGTAAGAGCGAGAAGTTGGTGAGGAGGATGGAGGAATTCTAGAACCTTGGTGGGGACATGGATGAGGATGTGCAGGTGCTGATGAGAGATGATGAATGTCAGGTGAGGGTGCTGGAGCGTAAACTGGAGAAGCAGGATATGGAGAAATTGATGGCTCTGAAGTTGGAGCTGGAGAAACAGTTGGAGGGGTTGCAGAGAGTGTACCTTTCAGATAAGAAGATAAACTGATACTTTTAACTTTACCAAACACTGAGTTATCCAGGCCAAGATTTTTTGTGGGAGAACCCGTGATTATTTGAGCCAACTGCCTTAATCTCTGGGGCCCAAAGCCTCCAAACTCAGACATTAGGGAAGCTTGAACTACAACTGGGGCTGCTGTTGTTGAACCCATGGTGTTTGTTATTTGCAAATATACATTCTGCATGAACAAAAAAAATGCAGAGTTATTTATCACTGAAATAAGACACATGTCTGAGAGCATCAACCAGTATTAGTATATTCATTATCCTTTCAAAACTTCTAGAAGAAAATTCAGCACTCTTTGCGGCTACCCTTTTGTTGCCTTTGTTACCGCTATTGTTAAATATTATGCCTTCCATTGCATAACGAAGACAATTCTTGCACAAACTCATATATGGTAGGAAACTTGGATCTATAATAAAGTTTCAAATGGTAAAGATGTTCCTAGCATGTTAGAATATAAAACAAATTAACTTGTTGTAACAACTTAGGTTTCGGAAATAGTGGTGAACCAACAACCTTAATACATCAGAATCCCAAAATTTTATGCCTAAAGAGAAGTGTGCAAAAAGTCACTAGAGTAGGTAGGTGTTATACCTCATAAGGCCTCAGATACAATCCAAACTTCAACTGCTCCTTTAACTCGCCAAAATTTTCCACTATATCATCTATACAATTATTGAGAGTAAAATTAAATAAAATCTCGGGTAGCTGCCAGATTGAAGCAGGTTGACCAGGAATCACAGTGATTCCCCCCGGATACTTCAGAATCTCCAATGTAGATGGCTGCCCGAAAATTGATGTTGTCAGTGTAAGATTGGATTGCTTAAGGAAAAGCTCAACTAAGGATGACCTCAGCACACTTAAGGACACAGGAAATATTGGAACATTTATTGGATCAGAAAGAAAACCAAACACCACATCAGTCCAATTATGTGCAGGAAATTGGTGCATAGACAAGATAGCCACCTGTTGACAATAAGCAGACTTCAGTTTGATGCTTCACTTTGTATGAAAGCAACATGATACGCCTATAATGGTAAAAGATTGAAATTGTACCTTTGTACCTGGGACACCAATTTCCCCATTGATATCATATTCTAATCTTCCAATGTGTGGAACAAGGTCCATAACTGGCTTTTCCAGTCTGAAGTATGCCTGAACTGTGGCTGGAAAAAGATAATGAGACATATAAGCATTCGCCTATTATTCTGGTTAAAGTTCAACGAAAATAAAAATAGTTAAAGCAACAAAGAACAAGCATGTTAGCTACTCAACAAGAAAAATAACGGATATTACATCTATTTCTCAAATTGTCCAATTAATCTTCTAACTTCTTAATTGTATTAAATGATCACACTGGGTCATCTTAGCTCAGCAGCAATTATCACCTACAATTCTATTAAATTGCTACAAAATAACAATAAACACATTATATATCCAAATTGATACAATTCCATTGCAATACAGTAATATTCCACTCAATGCCACTATAAACACACACTATATGGTCCACTCTTGCCTTTGTATAGCATGTCTGTCTAAACTCTTTAACTCGACTGCATCTAGCAGTCATTAAGAGCCTAGGGAGTTCCTTAAGGCAAAATTCAGGGAGTTTGTTCGTATCACAAATAAAAAGACAATAGCAGTTAGCGTAGACCTCCTAGTTGCCCAATTTGGAAGTTGAGATGGTTCATTGTACTTGGTGGAGTTTTTGTCAATCCATAGAACATTTATTATCGATAAAATCATATTTTAACTAGCCAATTGCCACACACTCACATGCACACCGATGGGCCTTTAATTTTTTGTAATTGAGACATCCAATTTCAGACAATTTCCATATCGGTGGTAAACTTCAGAAGCCTGGTTCCTCATAAATGTATACTAAAGAGAACATAGCCATTGATATATAATTAGAAAAAGAAATTCCGACTAAGGCAAGACATTACGGTCACTTCCAATTCTAACTCACTCTTGTTCCAACCATATGGTAGTACAATCAACTTCCACTAAAACGAAAGCATTTCTGGAAATATGAAATGCATTTAGGTCTTAATGTCTAACTAGATGCGTTAAAGCTAAGCATCATAAACACTCCTAAATTCAAGTAGATCAAAGGGAAAGCTCTGTATTTAGAAAATCTTCACATGATATTCGTCTTTCCATGATTACCAGAAATCATGATAGACCACTCTCTTTTCCGTCCACATCCTAACTTTAAGGTGATTTACCGCCTCACCAAAACACCAGAAATGCTTAAAACCAAAGACCTGAATTATACAGTACAATGAAATACCAGTTTCCCCACCCTAAACTAATCATGAACCCCCATTTATGTGAAAAGCTCCAAAAAAATCCCCCTATTACTCGGTAAGCAACGACCACGCCATTATCACATTAACGCGAAGATGACCTGAAACTACCAAATATCTACACAACAAGGTCATTTACCAGAACCCCATTTGCCCAAAACATCCAGAGATCCCCAATCATACAGTAAAGATAAATACTACCCATTTGCTCAAAACATCAGAAAAATCAAAATATGAGGCAAATAATTCATAAAAGGCAGAATAATCAAGTGAACCAAATAGATTTACATTAGAGAGAGAGAGAGAGGAGTAGTGAACATACCACTGAGCTTAATTGCCTGTGTGGCATCAAACCCCGAGTTGGTAGCGCGGTGAGGAAGGATCCAGAAGATCCCAGAGAGAAAAACCGATAAACTGAGAACTAAAACGAAGACGCATCTAAAGCTCAAGCCCTTGGCGATTCGGTTGAAAACCATCGAACATCCAGGATAGATGAGTCCCGAAGCACTCTGACCCTCATGACTCGGCTGCTGCTGGTCCAGATTTGCTTCACCCTTCCCCATTTGAAGGGCATCTGGGAATTTCCCTCTCTTTCACTCTCTTTCTTTCAGTCTAAAGAGAACACAATCGATCCAAGGAAGCAGAAGAAGAAGGTGGAAGATGTGAGGGACAAATGTTCATGGTGGGCATCGCCCTGTTTCAACCCTCTTTCCTTTTCTTTTTACTCTCTCTCTCTCTCTCTCTCTCTCTCTCTCTCTCAAGTTTAAACCACACACTCTGTCACTTCACAAGTCACACAATAGTCTATTCTTATTGCTTCTTATATTATTTTATTTTTTTACAAAGAATATTATTATTTTCAAATATATTCTACTAAGTATACATTGGTTGAAACGGATTATATTAGTTTCAGGAACTAGATGGACTTGGTAAAACATTTAGTGCATGTCGGTCTAAGAAACAAAATAATAATAAATAATTAAAAAAACCCATTGTATATAACAAAATATTATGATTGACTCGTTGCGGAACTTCACTCAAATTTCTCATTCTTACTATAAATATATTATTACATTTAAAAATAAATTTTACAATAAACTAAAGAAAAATAGAGAGTTTAAACTTAAAGCACAATAAGATTGAAGAAGAAAGTTTTGAACATGGTACAATCAACTTGTCTTTCTTATATTATATTATTGTTATGTTTAGGCTACCGAACGTTGAGAAGAAGCAAAGATGAAAAGAAAGTGGGAGAGCATAAAGATTAAAAAGAGATGACGGTATTGATGGATAATATTTTATAAAAGTTAGAAGAAAAGAAGAATGCTCCATCCATCACGAAGTGAATTTGAAATGTTGATATGATCCATATTGAAAGGGACTTTCATTAGTAACACTAATTTATTATTATGATGAGAATACTTTTGTTCTCGCTCTTAAACAATGGTGATGATCACTATTATATTTATTACCTTCAATTTTGAAATTTAGGTAGTGAAATTTAAACTCGTTAAATGGTAATATGTATGATGGTGAGCATTACCAAGTGTAATAATACAATTGGTATGCTCGGAACGTGGTTGGGAATACCAAACCTGAAAGAAAAAAAAAACTCAACCAGATGTATCATGACATATCGGGTCATATTCCCAGCACACTAAAAATTTATCGTGCTTGAAGATGGTGAACAAACATGCACCCTTATTATTTTTATAGGGGCAGATACGTAGCACCACTTTTTTACATAACTTTTGATACAAGTTTTTTTAGACCCACTTCGTAATGTATTTCAACGATCCGAACCGTCTGTCTTTTAAATCTTCCCTCAAAGGTCGTGTCTATAAAAAATCGCTCAAATCTAAAATCATATAACTGTTGGATTAGAACTTTAGAGTTTGTGAAACTGTATTCATACATTTAGTTACTACAAATGAATGTCTTATTGGTTTGAGATTTGACTTTACGAAGTGAGCCCCATAAAAACTTGCGCAAAAAATTGTGTAAAAAAAATGATATCACAGATCCGTCACCTATTACTATTATTTTAAATTTTGGGTTAATTTCATATGCCATATATTTTACCATTTAATTATTTATTGTTTTAATTTCATTCAATTAAGTGATGAGGACGCAAGGAAGATCACCCACTCACATCGACCAGTTATTTATGCACAATTTGTATGATGGAGGGAGCTCATCATGAGCATATAAAAAGGGCTAGTGATGTAGAATGGGATTGGACAACGGCTTCCTACTTTTCTACCATCTTACTTGCTAGGCAAGCCTTTTGCCATAATGTTTTGGCTAATTACATTTCGCAAGATAGTTTGAATCTTCATTAAATTGATGACGTGGTGAATATGAAATCCGTAACTAGGTTGACATAAAAGTTGTATTACTACAAAGCCCAAAAAACTCATCAATGAAATGGATAATTAGACGTTTAAATATAATTGATATATTTTTTTAATTTTAGGTGGCAATGTCAAAAAATTGAAACATCACGGCCCAATTTAGAAATCACCTCAAACCTTGAGAGCGTAAAATGTAGTTAGCCCTATTTTCATTAGCATCACAAATGTATAATGTATGTTTCAAATTTGCCTCAACTAAGTGGCGATCGACTAATATGGATGACGATTTAACGAGGGGTGCAAGTTAGAATAGTGTTTCTGATTTTGACAATAATTTTTTTTTAATCCGAACTCAAAAATTCTAAATTCAAATATTTTCCGACAAATTGGGATAGAAATTGGAATGCACTTAAGGATGTCAATAATTCTAAATTTCTTATTCGAATTTTTCTCAAGTGTTCTGAACTTATTCATACCAAAAAGTTGTGCAATATTTTGAATAATTTTATAGTTAATTACTCAATGTATGCATTTTGTAGGCAAGTTTTATATTTTATTGCTAGTTTTGGATACCTTTTGTTCCTTGTTTTTAGACTAAACGTACATTTATGGGGTATATTGTATATGTAGTTTGATGGACTTTCCTTGACTCTCAAATCTAAGTGTATTCAATATAGACTTTAAGGAGTAAAAAAAATTCACTCTATATTGAATAATGACTTTTTATGACTTCTAAAAAGGTTACAAGAATCTTGTGGTATTCAGTTACGACTTTTTGTGAGTCTACAAAATTAGGAGAATTCACGAATTTATTTATTTTAGAGGATTTTAAAACAATAGCTTGGATGCATCGAAGATCGCACATTATATGCACAAAAAAAAAATAGTGGATGGAATGGGTCCATGGTGTTGAACCTCGATATTAGTAAAGCACATGATCAAATTGAATTGAGTTTTTTAGAGCAAATTATGAAAAGGATGGGTCACCATTTGTAAGGGTGCACCAAGTGTAAACCATTTTTTGTTCGCAGATGATAGTTTTATTTTCGTTTAAAGTTCACTCCAAGAATGTCAAAGGATCAAGGCGTTGCTTAAGATTTATGAAAATGCTTCGGAGCAAGCAAAATGAAAAGAGTTGCGTAGCGTTTAATGGAAATCTCACAGAGATTAATGGGCAGCTACTTGTTGATTGTTTAGGTGTGTCTCGAGTTGCATACCATGACCGTTATTTGGGTTTACTGGTTTTCATGGGGAAAGCAAAGAAGGCTACATTCACTTACATAAAGGATTGCCTATGGAATAAATCGAATGGATGGCGGGGCAACTTGTTGAATAGTGCGGGCAAGGAGTTGTTGATTGAGACAGTGGCACAAACAATACCACTATACACTATGCAGACTTTTCTTTTGCCTAAAACATTTTGTAATGATTTGAACCAAATGGTTGCCTAATTTTGGTGGGGCCGAAACCAGGGGAGGCGAAAGATTCATTGGATAAGTTGGCAAAAATTATGTAAAACGAAAAGTGAGGGAGGTTGGGGGTTCAAGATTTGTATGCTTTTAATTTGGCGTTATTGGCAAAGCAAGGATGGAGACTACTTCAACAGCCGGGTTCACTAGTGGCTCAGTTATTCAGAGCCAAGTACTACCCGAAGACGGATTTCATGAGCGCCCCTGTGAAAACAAACGCATCTTTTTGCTGGAAGAGCATTGCGGAGGCTCGGAAGGTTATGCGAAAGGGGGGCATATGGCGTGTGGGGAACGGCAGTAGTATAAATGTGTGGGGGGATAGTTGGCTCCCGAGAAAGTATTTCTTGAGATATGGCTCTCTTATGTGATATCTTTTGAGAGGAGGAAGTCCACTTAATTTGTAGCATCCCATTTAGTTCTCTTAAACCACCGGATGTGCTCATTTGGCATGCGGAAAAGAATGGTAAGTTCTCCACCAAGAGTGCGTATCATCTGGCACGTTCGTGTGGAGAGGAGAGTGCACGAGTTGCGAGCGTGTGCGCCAGGAAAAATAAAAATCTGTGTATGGAGGAGCTGTATGAATGCAATGCCCACGAAAGACAACCTGGTTAGGAGAAAAATCATTCAAGATGCCTCTTGTGGTTTGTGCAGCGGTAGAGTAGAAACGATTGAGCATGTGTTGCGGGATTGCACAATGGCGGCAAGCATTTGGTTCTCTAGTCCGTTGAGCTTTCGAGTTCACGAAGCCAGAAATATTGCATGGGTGGATTGGATTGCAAGTTTGGCACCATCTTTGGCACGAGACAGTTTCGATCTCGTGCTAATGTCGATATGGCATATCTGGAAGGAACGGAACGCGTTAGTGTGGCAAGGCTCGACAAGGCACCCACTGGACATCAATTATAATGCTCAAGCTTGGTTGGCAGAATATTAAAAAAAAAAAAAAAATTAATGAAAATCACTTGAAAACTTTGAGTTTTAACGATAAGGACAAAATAAAGTGTAAAGTGAATAGTTCCAAGATTAATTTTTTAATGTAAAAATGCAGTTTTTTGTTAAAATAGTACCAGAAACTTTTTGTTAAAGTTTCTTATAAAAAATAGCTTGGGCAACAAATGAAAAGCAGCAGACAAAAGAGGTTGTAGAAAAATGGAAGAAACCATAATTGGGTTGGATCAAATGTAATTTTGACGGGGCATGGAAGGATAAGAGAGGCAAACAAGGTTGCTCAAAGATTGGCGCAATGGGGTCTTAACTTCCATCACAAACGAATTTGATTTGAGGAACATTCAGTTATAATTTTGGACTTCCTAAAATAGGATAATTAACTATATAATTTTATTGGTGCGAGACGCTCTTTTTCTCTTCAACCAGGTTGAAATTCCCGACAAGATTTTTATTGAGGTCCATTAAATATGCGCCCTATCCTACTATCTTGTACGTATTCTATAGCAATTTGAATGAATATCGTACTTTTTCTCAAAAGAAAAAAAGTTCATGGATTTTAAAGGACTTTGAATACTTTTTTATGGTAAGTTTTTTTACATAGCAAGTCAGACCTCTTCTCTTTTAAGATGTTGATGGATTTTATTTTTCTCAATTCTCAAATAATATATTTCGCCACCTTTCATAATGTAATGATATCATTATCACCATTTTCACCACCATGTCGCCACCACCACCTCACCATGACCATCTCAATCCTCAATCCCTGCTGCCACCACTGTCACCATTGCCGCCACAACCATCATCATTGCCGCCACAACCGTCATTGTCATGGCCCATGAGCTCATCGCCACCTCTACTATGACAACCACCGCCACCCTCACCCTCATCTCTCTCTATGAAATATTTTCAGTCTCTAAAAAAAAATAAAATATATATATATATATATATATATAACATCAAAATTCTAAGCGGCATTCCTTTCCCCCCTCTCTCTATCAATTTTGGCCCACAACACTAATTTAAAAAATAAAAAGTCAGGGATCCCCACCATCTTTGCAAGTAAATCAGCAATTTGTCGGCACATAATATTAAAAGCCTAAAAAAAAAGAAATTTTAACGAAAAGTTCACAGTACTGATCACTTTAACGAAATATTATATTTTTACACTAAAAAGTCAATCTTGGTATTATATACTTTACCTTTTATTTTGTCATTATCATTAAAACTCAAAGTTTTCAAACTATTTTCATTAGTTTTCCTATAAAAAAAACCGGTGTTTAGTGCTCAAAATCGCCTAAAAAAGCTTTGCTCTCCCACTAATAATCTCCCTAATCAACTTTTATTTTAATTAATTGGATCTCCTAATCAACTTAAAAGCAGAGTTTTGGGCAGGAAGAAGGAACACATGGTGGACCAGCGACCGAGTTTTCCTTGTCACGTGCAAATTTGTGGGAAAGGGATCCTCGTTGGATCCTCTTTGTGGGGATTCGAATAATCAATCAATCACGTCTGTTCATTGTATATTATATGATCAGAAATCATTTTAAATTTTAAATTGAATATGAATAGTATTTAACAAAAATTGACCGCACGATATACGATAAACGGACATGATTGATTGATTTTCCGAATCCCTACAAAAAGAATCCTTTTCCCAATTTGTACATATATGCACCATTCGCGAGGTGCCAAAAGTTGAAAATGTAACATGTTTGAACGGTCGAAAATTCAAAATTTTGAAACAAGCGGGCCACTTTTGCACTTCGATACGCATTGAAGGGTTCAATTTAATTTTTTTGTAGATTTTACTTTGATATCATGTTTTTACCAATTAAAAAGAACAGATAAGGAAAAAGACCCAACATTAATGGAAATAAATGTGGTCTTATTTGATCAAATAATTTTTTTTTTTTAATAACTACTAATGGCTTTTCTACATTTAAGAAAAAGAAGAAATACTCTTTTGATTCGTTTTTTGACAATGCGATATTTTATTTGGCACATTTGTTGATTTGTCCTCCGATCTGTCTAGAGATGTCAATTTTCTCTTGAACTTTAATTTTAAATTTTTAGTTAATTATCTTTTGAATTTTTATAATTAGCTAATTTCCTTATTAAACTTTAAATTTAATCGATTAACCTTTGGAACTTTTATAATAGCTAATTTTCCCTTGATGCTAGATTTTAAAATGTTTATCCAATTTTTTCTCCATCTTGATCATGCGGACAACACATGACAAATGCATGAGGCAAAAAGAATAGAAATTGGATAGGGAAAATAGGATGAAATGTTTTAAAATCTAACGCTAGGGGAGAAATTGGTTATTATAAAAATTCAGGGGTAAATTAGTTAATTATAAAAGTTCAATGATGTAATTGGATAAAATTAAAGTTTAGGAAAATTGGAAGCTCTATACAAATTTGGAGAGTACATTGACAAATACCTAATTCTATTTTAAATTACTTTTATTTGAGCGCGAATATACAAACTCAGATATAAAGAGGTGGAAACACGACTCTGAGTCTCTGAACAACTGATCAAATCCGTGTATGCTATTGAGGAATCTATTCAATAGTAGTTCTTTTCAATTCAAAAACACATCTTTAAAAGCACATCTTTTTAGTTTAAATTTTTAAACATAAAACTACTAAATAGAAGGAATTTTGATGAAACACTCTTAGTACTGTTCATATTTAACGTTAAAAATATTTTTACCTTGAAAAATCACTACTGGTACTATTTATTTATACTTTATTTTATTATTTTCGTTAAAAACTAAAACTTTCGAATACTTTTCGTTAATTTTCCTCTAAACAAAAGGGAAAAATATTCAACAGAAACTTTTTGAATTTTGAAATGACCCCCCAAACATTGACGGTAAAAGCGCGCCTTCCCACAGAGCCTCTCTCTCTCTCTCTCTCTCTCTCTCTCTCTCTCTCTGTGATATGGATATAAATGGATTTGTTGTGAAGCACCAGAGACGCTTTGAGAGAGAGTGAGCGGAAATTGTCAAACGGTCTCAGATCCGTTGCAAATTTCAATTCAAATTTTCATATGTAAGCTCCCTCCTCCCTCTTATCTGTTTAATTAAGATGGTTGATTTGTTTTAACAGATTTACTGCTACTGCTTCTAACATTTGCTATATCAGATGCATGGATGGCTATTTCCGAGCTAATTTTTAATGGTTTTTTTATTTTGTTAAGCATTTAGGAGGAACCCATTTTTGGGTTCATTCCAAATTGTTCTAAATTATCGCCCCTTATCTGGGTTCTATAAGTTCAAACCCACTTAATCCAATCTGCCTAATTGATGTAGTTCTCATTTCAAATGTGGTTAATTTCCAAGTTGTTTTGTTATCTTCGTTCGTTTCAGCTACGAGTCTCACACATTCTGTACTTTCAGTAATTTCCTTCTTCAGATTCTTGTTGCACTTACCAAGTCATATCCTTTTCGTTTTCTTTGTTTTTCTTCCGATTTTCGGATAAACCCGTGTTGTATTTCCCTTTTTTAATTCATTTTAAATCTCCAACGTTTACCTCAGAAACCAAATGAATTCAGAAGAGAGGGAACACTGTTTGAATGTTGACCACAAGTAACTAACCTCAAAAACTACTAGCCTTAGATAGCTTTAGATAGCTTTGATTTCATGTGAATCGCTGTTGCCCGACATAATAACTAGCTATACATGACCAATCTAATTTCTTTCCCAAATTTTACGAATTGTGTAAAATTGTAAGTTTTTAAGATCTTTTCCTTTTATTTTGTAAATATTTTCGTAATGACCGCTAACTGTTTGATTGCTGTCCTCACAGAATGGACTCCCTGCCTGATGCTATTGTTCAATACATATTGTCGTATATGGATAATGCCAAAGACGTTGTAATTTGTAATTGTGTATCCAAGCGATGGAAGGATTCAATGCCTTATATAAGGAGCCTTTACTTCCCTAGAAGCTCCTTTGATAGCCATAAGGGCGGAGACAGCCCTGATGACATTGTATTGAAGATGGTTTCAGTGATTGAACGGTTAGAAAATCTGGTTGTTTATAGTCCCTTCTCCGGTGCAGGCCTTGCTTCGTGGTTATCAATCATAGGTCCCTCTCTTAAGTATCTGGAGCTCCGGATGGACAATCTTGCTGATTATCAGGCCTGTCTTGAAAGCCCTTCAAAATTGGATTACTTAACTGCTGCACAAAATTTGGAGTCTTTAAAACTTTGGGGAGTTTTAATGGCCCGTTCACCAAAGTGGGATGTCTTCCAGAAACTGAAGAACCTTGAAATTGTTGGAGCAAAACTGGAGGATCCAGCTTTGTCAACTGTGCTTCAGGCCTGTCCCAATCTCACCAATTTGGTGTTACTTGGTTGTGAAGGGGTGAGATCGGTTTCGATTCAGTTGCCACATTTGGAGCAGTGTAAGCTGGACTTTTATGGCTCGGGCAACTGCTCACTTTCCATGGTGTGCCCCAAAATTAAAGTCCTTGAGGTGCAAGGCTGTAGCTGGATTCGGGTTCGTGATGCAAAGCATTTGAGCAAACTTTCAATTGCCAATAATGCAGGTAATGATTTGCTATAAAAGCTTACATTTGATGACTTGAAAAATGTAGTATATATCAGGTGCATTTTATTTTCTCGTTCCCCACTTGTGTGAATTATAACAATGTCTCCTTATCTTTGTGTTTTCTGGTGTGTGTTTAGGGAGAGTCTACATGGTTGATTTTGAGAAACTTGTTGCTCTAGAGTTCTTATCCATTAGGGGAGTCCAGTGGTGTTGGGACGCAATAAGAAAAATGCTTCAATGGGCAAGTGAAGTGAAGCACCTTTATATGAAGGTGGAGTTCACAGGGGATTTTGAGACCCTTCAACCCTTTCCAGAGGTTGACTTCGTTGATTTCTTCAATAACCATCCCAAGCTGCAGAAGTTTGATATCCATGGAGCCATGTTTGCTGCCCTTTGTCAAAAGAACAGCCTGAAAAATGTAAGTTGATACTATTTCATAATTTAGTTTCAGTTTAGGTCAATCTTTTAAAGTACGATTGAGTTTATATTTCTTTTCATTTCATTTTTCAGGTTGATTCGGGATTTGCAATTCCTTGCCTGGAAGAAGTGATGATCACAGTGAGATCACCGCTGAATGCTGAACAGAAAATGAGCACTCTTGAGTCCTTGTTGAAGTACGGGAAAAATCTGAAGACAATGGTGATAAAGATTCTTCAGATGAAGAGCAGTCACAGCAGTGCAGATGATTTCTTTGATGAGATTTGCAGGTTTAGATACATGAACCGAAAGGTTGTTAGAATAGAATAAAGGCTTCCTTAGGGAACTTACTCATTTTTCCTTCTTAATTCATACCATTGCTTTAACTCTCTGATTAAATACAGCATGACTGCTGATTTCATTGAACTACGATCGTCATTTATTGAATCGATTCAAAATTTGGATTAAACTAATTTGTCAACTTTGCGTACGGTTTTGCTGTCTTTAATTTTATATGCCATTGTATGTGTTTGCTGTATTTTTCCTGTAAGTACTTTGTTGGGAAGTTGAATGCAACTAAACCTTCCCTGGCAAAAATGCAGAACTAAATTCAGGAACTCTTGGTACTTCCTCTTTGTTGGGACGTTGAATGCAACTAAGGCATCTATGTTTTCGGCGGAAGCATGAAAACTGCCTTGTTGCAGTTGGAATCGGATCTACGATTGAGTTTTGTAACTGAAATCTGAAGTTAGCAGTCTTTCAGTTTTGCAACTGAATGGAACTGAAATCTCTTGTTTATCCAAGATAAAGGTGCAAACTCTCCTAATGGGAGGTTTGAACTTGCGACCTCCTCTCCGTTGGAAGAGAAGGTAGCACTGCTAGACTAAGAGCGAGTTGATTGGCTTACACAATATCTACGTCGCTTTTATACCATGTTGTTTCATCTTATCTTGTTGCGACTAAAGTTGGAAGGCAAATTATGAATCTTCCCTCAGGTTCATCTTCACTTCATTTAGAAGGCCGAAGACCCTCGAAATGAACCTGATTCCGAAGGAACCAAATTCCCCAAATGCGAAGTGAAAGCGCAAAGCTCACGGGTTCAATTGGCTCTACGTGTCCGGACTAGTTTTTTATTTAGTCATACTTCATTTTCCAATGAAAGAGGTTCCAAATTCGAATTTCTATTCACTCGTAATGACATAAAAACTCGAGATGACATGAAAACAGATTTGTGCAAGCAAACGCACGAAGCCCCCAAATCTTCAGTGCTTCTTCTCGTAGCGAAAAAGTTTATATACAACCATATTCGGTTCTATCACAATTAAGATTCATTAAGTAGTTGTTCTTTGAGAAAGCATGCTTGATTTCTTGGCCAACACGATGCATTTCTCAACCTTTAACAAAACCATGTAGCGAATGCCTATCGAATTCTCAATTTTACTTTCTTGTGTCTACACAGATAATCGGAGTAGCGTAATTCAAATAAGCTTCTTCTTATGGAAAAATCTCTTCAAGTGCCATAGCTGCATACTTGAAACTCCGATGCAGAGGCCCAACGACATCATGCTAAACCATGCCACCCTCGAGTTAGTTCGTTCGCTCAAATTCCTCATATCCACTTCTCTATGTATAACCAAAATAAAACAAGGAATAAATTACCACAGAAACCGACTGGAATTCTCAATTCATTCAAATTAGGAAGATAAAGATTACCTGTTCTTGAGATAGAGTAGATGCGCATGGACAGCCTCCACTACTTGTTCAAGTTTCCGTAGTTCAAGCTCAACACCCTATATGTGGGCAGACACTCGAAATAAGCACAAATAAAGATATTGATGCACGGAAAATAGAAAGACATTAAGAGTTAGGGTTTGCGGAAACTTAAGTGATGATGACACAAGAATAACAACTCTGCTAAACACCACGTATGTATGGAGTCCATATACACTCTTACCCCAAAATATGTGTGCGCGTCAGCTTGCAATTGAAATTCTGCATATTATGTGAAATTCAATCCTTTCTAGTTCCTAACATTGTTCACGTATCAAATGGAAACTTTCGTCCCTATGTCATAAAAACTGAATTTTACAGCATTACTATACAAAAGTTCGAATATCAAAAAGTGATTTCTAAGATCCAAATCAGCAAAACAGGCATTTTCTCAATCTTACCAGTTCTATCTTTAAACAGTTAATTAAAGGTTATAGGAACAAAATAAAAAAAACGACAAGAATGCAGCACTCTTGCACATCAAAACTTGGCGGGCATGATGATGGGTTATTGAGCACATTTTAAGAGTTCTATAAAAGTTTAGTAGTCTAAATGCAAGTTTTCCGTTAAATGAATTTACAGCTTCAGTTTAGAAACCCATTTCATTTGGCCATCGGAAACCTAAAGTGTTGAAAAACTTTTCAAGACGGTACTGAGTTCTATCTTAACATCCACCATTGGTTGCCAAAATCTTAGCATCTGCTTATGTGAATGAAAAATAATATGTGCATAAAATGTGGGTGATATATTTATTTGTATTATTATAAGAAAAAGTGTTCTCTGAGCGCTCACCTCAATCTTCTCTTTTCTTGCTACTGAATCCCAATCCTGAGCTGCAATTCCAATTTTCCAGTCAAGGCTGATACTTACTGAACTACCTTCACGTTTGTTACCATCAACCGAAAAACAAGCCTGGTAGGTTCCAGGCTCTTGTGTTGTGAAGGCAAACTGGCCATCTGTTTCATTCTCACTGTGATGAAGATTGTTCCCATATGGCGATGTAATCTAACGAAGAACAAGGACTAAAAGTTACACAAAATTTACAACGGATCTAAGATGAAAATATAATGATGCAAATCAAACGACAGATAACTCATCAATGCAATTGCTTTCCATCAAAAACTTCATTTCCAGTTCACTACTTTCCCCTTTTCATTTTAGAGGACTTATAAACAACAGAAAAATCTACTGCTCGATTCACTTGACGACAACCAAATTATTTTCCTGCAAAGTCTCTCTCAACAAACATCATGTCACTATAACCATATAAATTATCCAATGTTCTAAAAAATGGTGCTTCTTACAGAAAGCATTTCAAGTGCTTTTGGAGTCCAAAAAAAATTTCTCTAAAAGTCTTCCAAACGAGCCCATAATTGTTCACCATCATTAATATACCGGTCCCGTAAGCGTTGGCAGCTTGATACACCGGAATTCATTTGCATTTCAGCAGACAATGCTGACAGATACCGTCGAACCAAACATCACAACTAATGCAAAATATGTACATACACAATCTGAGGCACCAGTTGCTTCCAATTTTTTTCGCAAACAAGAGCATCAAATCGAATCGACAAATGTGAAACCAGCTAATTCATCATCACATCGCATAAAAATTAGAATTTTCTTCCAAGCATAACAAAAGAAATGAATTTTTTTTATTTTTTCAGTTACACATCAAAAAGATATCTCAGTCGTACAAATTTTTCAGTAAGAATATTTGAAAGGAAAATGGGAGAATTGGAATTGGAGCAGACCTTGACGGAGATGGTGGGGGAGTGGCTGCGATCGTCGGAGATGACGACGTAATCGCCCAAAACGACGACGTTGTTCTGGATTTCTTCAGAGACGCACTTGGTGTCGGAGGAGGGTAAGTTCATCCAAATGGCTTCACCCGCCGGAAACACCGAGCACATGATCAACAAGATGGTCGCGGCCGCCGTCGCAGTCGTTCTCGTCGTCATCGCCGTCGTAACTCCTTTGATTTGATCCCTGAGAAATCAATGTGCATTGATATTGTGTTTGCTTGTTTTTAAAAACGGAGGAACAAATTGTACTGCCAGCTCTCCCGCTCTTAAATGTTTTGGCCCCACCAAATGACAAATAAACAACTACGTGGCAACCATTTATTGACGCTGCCACATTTTTGAACACGTGTTAAATACTTATTGGTTGGCCTAAGATTAATGTGACTAGAGAAAATTGTGTAGTTGCAACCATGGTACAAAAGGAGGAAAGACAGATCATTTCCACTAAAGTTACAAAATTAAGTGATCAAGATATTTGAAATTTAATCAAACGGATAAAAATAGAGAGACTTCTTTTAAAAAGTATAATAATTTTAATCATTAAATCAAAATTTAAAGACCTGGATCACTTGATTTGATGGTTATGATGGAAGAGATTTGAAGAAAATCTCTTTCTCGAAAGGATTGAGGTGTCTTGTGTGGGCGGAATTGAAAACTCTCCGGATCACTGTATGGAGCTAGCGGACAGAGATAGAGATTTGGACCATTCATTATTAATCTTATGACCTTTATTAGTTCAATTTACTGGCTTGCCTCATATTAATTAAGAATCTGGTTCCTTTCTCTGATCCTTGAATGATCTAGATCTTTGTCTTCGGCTTAAAGATCCAAAAATGATCTCGTTTTGTATGGGTGATACAATGTTATGTCAATATTATGTCCCACTCGCTGATACGAGTTGTATGTAAAATTTAATTGTTACAAAATATCCATTAGAACCCTGCATGCACGATTCAACCGTTGCAAAGATAGATTAGATGACTATATGTAAAATCTAACTGTTAATTTTCTGAAGCACTTAGTTGTATGCATCATGAAATAAATTGTCAACTAATATCCAAATCTCCATAAATATTCAACTTTTAACCGTCACTCTTGGATTAGGGTTAGAAATATTATGTACCAACAGCACACAAAACTCATTGCTACTGTGGTATACATAGACCCTGACTATGTTGGCTGGTTGTTTTGGGTGAGATTTAATCACTTCTTCGGAATGCCATTAACAGCTCCCTTTCAAATCCTCAAACCCGACGACAAACATAATATGCATTTACGACCAAATAAGTTGTTCGAGATAGCCGTGGTTCACATCTAAAATCTATTACTGTTTTGTTGCATTTCACAGTTCTCTTTCGGAAAGGAAAGCCAGAAAACCGAGAGTATGTGACGTCGTAGTTTACATTACATGACATTCAAATTTTTCTTTCCCGATATCTTTTTTCATCTACAAAAAAACTGGAGTAACATCACTTAAATAAGCTTCTTCTTTTGGAAAAAATGCTTCAAGTGCCATAACTGAAGGGTTGAAACAATAATGCAGACAGCCAACGACATCATGCTAAACCACGCAACCCGGGCATTTGTTCTTTCACTCACGTCCCTCATCTCTGATTCTCTGAGCATCCATCGAAAACAGAAATGACGAATAAATTACAGCAGAAAGACAGTACAGGAAATGTTGAATGCATTCCTATTAGGTATGTAAACCCTACCTGCCCTTGAGGTAAAGTAGATTCTCATGGATGGCGTCAACTGCTCCTTCGAGTTTTCGCAGCTCAAGCTCAAGACCCTACACATGAAGGAAATGTCAGTCCATGTTAGTGGTGGCTATTCAATATCCGAAACAACTGAGTACGTTTTAGTTTAATCATGTTAATGAAATTTCACGTACTGTTGCATGTTCAAGAAAGTCTAACAAATATGATGTATCTAACCTTGAGGAGTCAATGTTTGAACCGACGAGGATTGTACTAGCTTATATGCCATGGCCAGGTTATAATCTTAGGTCCAACATATATACAACATAAAGTATGTATAGTAGAGAGGGCAGAATAAAAAGTAAAAAAGGTCTACAGACAGAACTAGATCATTTGGTGAATCACTGTTAAGTATTATATTAACTGTATGACGCATCAACACGCAGCTAATGGTCTTGGAGAATGCAGAGGATACAAGACATAACAAGGCACCAAGCCTTAAACAATACACAATTTTCATTTATTCCAAGCTTTTTAATCCTAAGGACTCATTAAATATAGGCTCCGGTTAGAAAATGTGATTACGACACAGAGGCTCAAGAGACCCATGAAACTTTAAAGTCTTAATAACAATTGATCCGCTAAAGACTCTGAATTAAACTTGAATTAATTATTAATCATCATATTTTATATTCTGATTCTTGAACTACCATGGGCATTTCTCCTTAGACCGAAAAAGCCTTATTTTTAAATTTGGGCCAATGAGCTTAGTCTTGGGATTCCAAAGAGGCTATTGCTTGTCTAATCAAGCTGTAGTTACTGCATCAAATACCCTAAAACATGTGAATGTGCATCAGGTTGCACATGAAAGTTTGCGTGAATAATACTAAAGTTTACTCCTTTCTTCCTACCTTCAAGCTATCAAGTTCAAATGTCACAAAACTTCTAATATTAATGAAATGGTTTTCTGAACTGCGAACATGATCAATAAATAGGATTTTTCAAAAAAGCAAAAAAGTCATGCCACCTCATCAAAACTAGGCGAGTATATGCTGATGCAATCAAAGAACATATTTAAAGAATTGTACAACGTTTATAATTAACTCAACCACCACAATGGCCTCCATGACTCTAAACTTAGAGTGAAGGCTGTGCACTTGACTTGATGAATCCATATCAGGATTATTAATTGGCAGAAAGCAGATATGCAGTCACATGTACCAACAACTTTCAACTCACCAATTCATTTCTAATATTATTTCAGACACCAAATTTTAAAAACCTTTAAACATGATACTCAGTTCATGTCTATGTACCTGGGATAAAACAATGTTACCATTAATAAAAACAATAGAAAAAACAAACGACAAATATTATGGCAGTGCTTACCTCAATTTTCTCTTTTCTTGCTACTGATTCCCAATCCTTAGCTGCAATTCCAGTTTTCCAGTCAAGGTTGACACTTACCCCTCCACCTCCAGGATTGTTACCATCAACCCAAAAACATGCCAAGTAATTTCCAGCCTCATGAGTTGTGAATGCAAACTGACCGTGTGTTGCGTTCGCCTTTTGATGAAGATTGTTCCCATACGGTGATGTCACCTAAAGAAGAGCAAGAAGTACTATGAAAAGTGCTAAGAAAGCAAAAGGAAATCTAAGACGAAAAGATAATTATCCAAGACGGTAGAGCACTTGTCAATGTATTAGAACTCCATTTGCAATTTTCCAGTACTGTTTCCTTTAAGATCCAAAGGAGTTATCATAATGAAAAATATAATGCTCAATTAACTTGAAACAGAAACTTCGTTCATAAATTCACTTAAATTCTCCTCAGACATCAAGTTACAAGTTTGAATCCTGTCCAAGTATTTGAGGTTGTAGAAATGATATACCTTTTTTCCAAGTGCTACAATTAGAACTTTAGAGAAGAAAATCAAATAAATGTTAATATCGAAAAAATTCCCAATACAGAGGACAGACCACCTTTGCATTGACTAGAAACTAGTAAGATAACCGATGGTCTGATTGTTAACAAACGTAATTATTGCTATACCCCAGCTAAAGGTGTCGATGTGACTCTGCAGCCACAGATCAAATCAACGGCCTTGAGAGTGAAAGAAACCCCATTTTGTTCTACAGCCTAGAAACTCCTTGGTAAAGGGCTGAGTCTGACCACATTAAAAAAAGGTTTGACAAGCAACAAAACATCAAAGTGGAAACCAAGATCCCGTCGAATACTAAAGGAAGGAATGAAGAAATTGTGTAACTTGAAGGAAGAAGATACATTACTCATTAAGTATACTCCTTTCCAATCCCACAAAATGGTAGGATTCGACGGGTTAAGTTTCCTTCATGTCTAATCCCTTCTAATCCCCTCAAAATACGAAACCATTCACCTTAAACTTCCAGATAGCATGAATTTTACGAATAATCCAATCCTAGGCACCGAATGCGCCCATAATATACAAGTCAAATGACCGAGAACCATCAAAGTAATTATTTTTATTTTTTTGTTAAAAAAAAAAAACTTATAATTTGTTTCTCCTTTTGCAATTTACAGCAGGAGTTTCGTTTATTATGCTCTTAATTAAGAGGAGTTCAGGCATACATGAAAATCTACAGATCAACAAATTTTAGTAAGAAAAACATCCAAGCAGGATACAAAGATCCAAACTTCACAATTTAGATCCTCTTTTCTTCTTAAAATTTACCCAAACGGCAGAAAATCCGATAAACTAACTACTGGGTTTTCTACTAATATATGTATTTGCCTAATTGCAATAAAATTAGAAAAAATTAAAATCGATTACGAATTAAAGGAAAGGGGAAAAAAGGAGGGAATTGGAGCAGACCTTGGCGGCGATGGTGGGGGTCTGGGAGTGATCATCGGGAATGACGACATAATCGGCCAAAACGACGACGTTGTTCTGGATTTCATCCGAGACGCATTTCGTGCCGGAGGCAGGTAACGTCACCCAGATGGCTTGGCCAGTCCGTACCACGCACAGGATCAACAAGATGGCAGCAGCAACCGCACTCCCACTCCAACTCCTCCTCGTCGCCATCGCAACTCCTCTGCTTTCTCTCTCCTCTCTGTTTCTCTCTCTTCTCTCTGTTTCTCCCCCAAACGACGACGTTGTGTGCTTCCTTGGTTTCCGAAACGGAGGCGATACGGATACCCAGCAACCGAAGATGGTTTTTCCCCTGCGTCGACTTTTTCACGCAGGAAGGAAGGAACTGGGTTTTGTGAATTCTCAGATCTGTTGGCGACGACTGGGCCTGATTTATGTGACTTGTCTTGGTTTTGGGCCCAAGGCTGTTTTTTGGGCGTGGGAGACTCTGGCTTTTACGATCTTTAATTGATATTGTCCTGTTAATTACTGTCTAATGATATTCTTTTGCATTTACAATCGAGAGGGTTTTTATTTTTTTTATTATTTTTATAACAAAACTCGATATTTTATTGAAAGAAAATGCACTACATCAACTCCTGGTTGAGGAGATCCTGAATGAGATCAGAAGGGTCCTCTAGCCATACAAATTCATTGCCAATAGAACTGGCAAACTTAATGAATTTATGGGTAACCCCATTACATGTTCTTGGCACGTGCACAAAATGGACCGGGGAAAGCAACTCCGCCACTTGCCTGGCATCCTCCGCTAGTAAACCAAACTCGAACAAATCCCAATAGTTATTGATAGCAGCGAGCATAATCACTCTCCACAATAATCTGTCTAACCTGGATGATCACTCTTCACAATCGAGAGGTTAGATTCAACTTTCATGGATCACAATGAAAAGAACGTATTATATTTCTGTTGAAAAAAATTAAGATGCTTTAGATCACTATATCCGATTGAAAATTCATTGCTCAACGAATTTGGATCAAGAATTTCCAATGAGACATAAAAATCACAGTTTAGCGTACATTTATTTTACATATATGTCAAATTGTGTTTGTTCAAAAAAGAAAAGGAAAGAAGTCAAATGGTGATGTGCAGCCCAGACAAGCATGAATGATCCTTAAGAAGTTGGAAAACGTAAGAATTTTCATAATATCATAATAATCCCAATACAATTCCACAAAATGATCCTTAAGAAGTTGGAAAACGTAAGAGATTTTACCATCCATAAGGTATATAACTTAGCTACTTATGAGGTATATAACTTGACTACATTTGTAGTACATGCTTCAAGAAAAAGACTAACTTAGCTACTTATGAAGATAATAACACCATATGTCATTTCTTATGCATAGGAAAGAGAGGGAAAAATAAAATTGAGGATATGAATTAGTGGGAAAAAATAGAGGGAAAATTTTGTTTTTTTATTTATTTTTAGTTTTTTTAATCATTTTTGAGAGTGAAATGACTTATCTACCCTCACATGTTGTGCACATGGTCTCACTTAACAGAAATATGAATGGAATATATGAAAAACTAACGGGGGCAAATCGGCTAAAAAAAATTAGTTTGAGTCCTTAATTGGTTCCAATAGAAAAGTTCAAGGGGGAAATCGAAAACTAGGTGAAAGATCAGGGGATAAATCGACAATTTACTCAATTAGTTTATCATGCACTCTTAGTTTATCATGGACTCTTGTTTAATTCCAGCCATTGCTTTCGTTTGATTAATCCATATCAATAATCAAAAACAAAAAAAATATGTAAAAAGCTAAAAAGACTTTTGGTTTATCATGTAGTCTTGTTTAATTCCAGCCATTGTTGTTGTTTGATTAATCAATATCAATAATCAAAAACAAAAAATATATGTAAAAAGCTGTAAATCACATCCCTATCCTTGTTTGACCTCAATAACTTTCAGTGAATTTTAACTGGACTACTTATTAGCGTAGATCCATGTTTATTCCATGTAAAAACTAAGTTTAATGAGATTAAACATCTCCCCCCCCCGGGGGGCGGGTGAGAACCCAAAACGATGTTGTTTCACCCTCGCCAATTCCCCTTCCCCCTCCTCCTCACTTTCTTCTCTTTCTGCTCAGTCGAGATCCGATTCACCTCGATCCGATCCGACTGATGCTCATCGAGTTCATCCACAAAGGCCGTCTGGATTCAGAGGCAAATTATAAAGTTTAGTTCCATTGCAAAATGGGCAAAAAAAAAAAAAAAAAAATTTGGGCCAACCTAGTCCAATATTGTATCAAACACTTTATTATTAGAATGTGATATCCACATACCCCATTTTACTTCTTACACACCTTTTTTATTTTCGGTTGTCGGATCGGATGAATTGAAGAAGATTATTCACATAGATTATCAAAGGTGAAGTAGAGTGTGTAGATAACACATTTCTTACTATTTTTATCCTGCTTAGTTCAAGTTAAGCCAATCTAACCCATAAATTAAAACCCATAAAGTATGTAATTTTATTTTTTCCTCTCATTCTTATGCATGAGAAATGACATATGGTGTTATTGTTTCATAAGTAGCTAAGTTAGTCTTTTTGTTGAAGCATGTATTACCATTTTTATTTTCTCTAACAAATTAATAATTTGACAAATATTCATGGTGTTATTGTCTTCAAAGCAGTGCATTAATATAAGAAACATGTTCACAATACTCATAAAAAATGCTCAAGATAATTACATACTTTTCATAATGTCATAATAATCCCAATACAATTCTACAAAATGATCCCTAAGAAGTTAGAAAACGTAAGAGATTTTACCATCCATAAGGTATATAACTTAGCTACATTTGTAGTACATGCTTCAAGAAAAAGACTAACCTAGCTACTCATGAAGATAATAACACCTTATGTCATTTCTCGTGCATAGGTTTGAGAGGGAAAAATAAAATTGAGAATAGGAACTAGTAGGAAAAAATAGAGGGAAAGTTTTGTTTTTTTATTTATTTTCAGTTTTTAAATTTATTTTCAGTTTTTTAATCATTTTTAAGAGTGAAATTACGTAACTACCCTCACATGTTGTGTACATGGTCTCAATTAACAGAAATATGGATGGAATATATGAAAAACTAACAGTAGGAGGCAAATCGGCTAAAAAATTAGTTTGAGTCCTTAATTTTCCAATAGAAAAGTTCAGGGGGGAAATTGAAAGTAAATCAACAGTTTACTCAATTAGTTTATCATGCACTCTTAGTTTGTCATGGGCTCTTGTTTAATTCCAGCCATTGCTTTCGTTTGATTAAAACAAAAAAAATATGTAAAAAGCTAAAAAGACTCTTAGTTTAACATGGACTCTTGTTTAATTCCAATCATTATTGTCGTTTTATTAATCCATATCAGTAATCAAAAACAAAAAAAATATGTAAAAAGCTAAAAAGAGAGTGTAAATCACTTCCCAATCCTTTAAAAGTACGTTTGTTTGACCTCGCTAACTTTCACTGAATTTTGACTGGATTACTTATTAATGTAGATCCGTATAAAAATTAAGTTTAATAGGATTAAAGGGACTCATGTGGAAACGGCAAACCAAACCCAACCAACCCCCCCCCCCCCCCCCTCCTGGCTTTCTACTCTTTCTGCTCAGTCGAGATCCGATTCACCTCGATCCGATCCAACTGATGCCCAATCATCCCTTTCGACGAGTTCGAGTTCATCCACAAAGGCCGTCTGGACCCAGAGGCAAATTACAAAGTTTAGTTCCATTGCAAAATGGACAACAAAAAAAAAAAAAAAAAAAAAAATTGGGCCTAAAACATTTTAGTCCGACACATAGTACAGTATTGTATAAAACACTTTACTATTAGAGTGTGATATCCACACATTTCATTTTACTTTTTACACACCTTCTTAATTTTCAGTTGTCGGATTGGATGAATTAAAGAAGATCAACAGACATAAATTATCAAAGGTGTATGAGAAGTAAAATAGAGTATGTGGATAGCACATTCCTTACTATTTTTATTTTGCTTAGTTCAAGTCAAGCTAATCTAACTTAGCCTCTAAAGTTAATCCAATTCTAAATAATCTGCTTCAACAAATGCACCTTAGATTATTTTGGAAAGGGATCATCTCCAGATCCTTTCTACATAATTCTATCAATCTGAAATTTGATTCAACGATTAAAAATAAGGAGCTTGTTTAAAAATTATAATAACTTTAATCGTTTGATCAAATTTTAAAGGTCCGAATTTATCGAGCGATTGATAGAATTTGATAAAAGGGATCTGAAAATGATCTTTTCAGATTATTTGGGCGATACTTGTCTCATCATGCACTTGACCTCACCCATGACTCCATGAGTTGACATAAAGTTGAAGATTCCTGTATACCCCATCTACTTTTATATAAAAACATTTTAAGTGGGTAAAGTAGCCTCCCTCCATTATCTTACCCACCTTAGACTAATCTTGAAGCTAAATCTACCATAATATTCTTCCTCCCACAACACCAAGTTACCAACAACAGCAGAAACAACATGGAAGATCTCATTGCCCAATTCAGCTTCCTCTCCAACCAAGCCTTGCAAGACAAAACCTTCGACCCCTCGAAGATCGAGGACCTCATGAAGCTGTTCGAGCTCGAAGCCTACAACTCGTGGGCAGCAGTCGAGCTCGAAATGCAACAAGAGTTGGAAGAAGCTGAGCGTGCCATGCAGGAAGCGGAGGACTACATGGACTCGGTGATGGAGAGCGCCATGGACGAGTTCAGACGCTTCGAGGAGGAGATGGAACGCATGTCGAAAGCGGAATTGGACAAACTGGAGGCGACGGCGGAAGGGGCTAGGAGGATGGGGATGTTGGTGGAAAATGCAGCGACTGTTGCTGCCAAGAGGTATATTGAGGCTGCACTCAACTCTGCTACTGCTTCAATGAAATCGGCTTGGAAGGGCATTTCTGCTAAGAAGGTTCACCCTTCTTAATTAATCATGTAATAATTGGATTCTAAGTATAATTACTGCCTTTGTATTTGCTTAATCTTCATATGTGAAAACTGGGATTTGGGCCATGTCAGTGTAAAAGAATGAGGCGTTTTGGAATTAAGGATCATAATCTTCTACAAAATACAGTTGAGAATAAAATAACACCTTCTGAAATATTGTTTTTGTTCAGGATGCATGAATCATATCAAACGCATATAAATTCCTTTTTTTTTTTTTTGTTCTTTTTAGAAACGATATCTAAAACTATTCTAATTACCGGGAGCGGATTCTAACTTGGGTGGACGGTGAGAAAAAGATCATGGCGTAAAGGAACAATCTTTCAAGAGGAAAGTTTTTGTTTGGAGAGCAACTTGCGTAAAACGAGTTTCTTGTTTTGTGGTGTTTTGATCTTATAATATCACCTAAGTGAAAAAAAAATTTTTAATTTTTAATTTTTAATTTTTAATTTTTAATCTTGTGGTGTTTTGTGGTGTTTTGATCTTATAATTTTTAATTTATAATATCAGCTAAGTTGTTTAATTTTTAATTTTTTTATTTGGAGAAAGAGAAGCAGCAAACGGGGATAGCCGTTGATGGTTGGATGTGGATTGTTGTTCATTGTTGACTGCTTTGACATCAATAATTGAGTCTGAATAAATTTTTTTTATACTGCGTATATATGTATGTACTAGCAAATTTAAAATTACCAAAGAAATTTAAAATAAAGGAAATTGAAATCACGAAATTTTATTTTTTTAGAATTTGTAAAATTTATTGTTTGGTTAGATACAGAGTTTAATGTTTAATGTGTGCATAAAATTAATAATATATAAATGAGAGATAATAGTTAGGAAATGTGCTAGTAGTGGTGCTGGAGACGATGGTGATAATGGTGGGTGGTGGTGGCAACGGTGATGAAGATGGGTAGATGGGTAGTGGCGGCCGTAGCAGCAGGGAAACATTGATATGTGGTGGTGGCAGCAGCCGTGATGGTGATGATGGTGGTGGTGGTAGTGGTCACTCAGGGTTCTTTTTTTTTTTTTTTTTTTTTAATACTTTATTTGTAAACTTTCCATTCATAAAATATTTAGAAATAACAGCCTTTATATAAAATTTAAACTTGAGAATTTGAAGTCTCAAATTCGGAGTATTTTTTCATGCGAAAATTCTAAATTTCTATGTTTATGAATACAAACAAAAGAATTAATGCATGTTAATATATAAATTTTAACTTTTATTCAAATTCCAAGTTTACTTTCCTACAGTGTTCATTATTTTTTCCCCTCACCAATTGATTTCTTTCCAGCATCAAATTAATTTACAATGAGCCTGAATACTGAATTGGCTAATTAGGGAAATAAAGCATATTTCTTTCTTCAAAATTAACCATAGCCTCATTGCCTGGTAAATAAACAGCTAAGCAAAATTTAGCACACCATTTCCAGAACCAATTCAAGATGGTATTTGAAACATGAAAGTATTATGTCACACGAAGATCTCGTCCGGCCGGTCTAAAGACAATTTTATTGACTCGTCCAGCCGGTCTAAAGTACATGCCGATTAAATACATGCTCACAATTAACATATGGTTCAGGTTGTTGTGTTGAAATATAGAATCTGTTACAAGTTCCAGCAAGACTAACAAAATTGCGAATTCAAAATTTGAGCATTGTAACATTCGCGACGATGTATGGACAAAACTGAGTCAGAGTCAGGAAGGTTGGATCGATGAGGGTCTGAATATCAACTCACATATCCATAGCTTGGGGTCCGACTGACACCTTAGATTTGTTTTCTTTCCTCTTCTTGCTTCCACTTTTGTTTTTCCTTTTCTCCGGCTTGACATCTGCGACTGGCTGAGTACTCTGCAAGTGTTGATGAATGGCAGCTAGGGGATTCGACTTGAAAGTGGGATGATTGAGAACTGTAGTCAACTGCTTTCCTTCCTTCAATCTGATGAAATGGAAACCATTATTACTTAACTGAAATTCCGTTGGAGAATGTGAAAATGAAAAGTGAAGAATGCAACCGGATTTAGAATCAAAGGAACTGGAAAACTTACACTAGCTTTTTCTTCGATTTACAATTTATCTTGAACTCCGAAGCAGGTGTGGGTCGCTTTTCCTTCAACTCCGGAAGGAATTCTGAGAAAGAAGAGAGATCATATGCTTTCAGTTTCTTCTGTCGACTACGTAGTTTCTTCTTCTGGTAAAAAATAAAGTTAACTCATTACCATACAACGCATTGTAAAAGAACACTAAAACATAATGATAAGGGTTCAAGTTATAGCAGTAACATACAGAATAAAAAAAAATCCAGAAAACAATTGTTATCGCAACAAACAAAATGCCAAGTTTTGACCAAAAAACAAAATGCCAAGTTTTGACCAAAAAACAAAATGCCAAGTCGAAGTCTGATACAGCATTTTGTTTGGGGTGGGGGAATATTTGAAGAGAAAAATCCAGAATTTCTAGAAATTTAGTACTGCCTTTTTCCTGCCTTAAGTTACTTCAAGTTCATATAGAGCAACCACGGTTTTCAAAATCACTGCTGTGGTAACTTTTTCCTCATCAGTTTACACAACTCTTATAAGCCGTACGAAGTGGCTCGGTGTTGGGTTTTTGTTGGGCCCATTTTGAACCTTTAAAAATGGGATCAAAATCCCTGTACACTGAAAATAGGCCAGAAGACATCCTATCATCCCTTGTATGGCCCCAATATGCAGTCCGTACTAAGCTTTAAGTTGCCCAGGAAAACGAAATGCAAGACCCCACTAATGTGTATTCTTTTTTGTTTGTTGCTAAACCCCATTCTTGTGAAAGAACCTAGTTTTTGCAGAAGAGCTTAGGTGTTTCCATACTTTTGTTTGAAACCAAGGGGAACACGTGCAAAGTCAGCAACCCTCCTGCACCTTTATTGTCACCCATCAATAGATGGTGTAAGGTACTAAGGATGCTTTCTCGCAACTTGATATGTGTTGACGCCAAATGGGTGATCACCCCTTCGATCCCAAGAGAACTCGGAAGAGTCCCTGTCACTAGTCCCCTCTTGCCAATCCTTGATTATTCAAAAATGTTACTCGTCTTTTTGTCCACTACAAATAGGGCTGAAACTCGCTCAGGTTCCATGAGTGGGAGGCCAAATAAAGCTGCGAAGTTTTAAACTTCCCAGACCCAGGTTTTGATAATGGACAACAAACGTGACTTTTGATTACTGTCTCTCTCCCTCCAAACTTGAAAGGAACTTCCTATGTAATTACTTTTGTGCCCCTCTCCATGAAGCATTGTTAAATAAACACATCCTATGTCTATTTTCATAGTGTAGCTTCTCATTCTGTTTCACTCAATGATCTTGATCAACCCACACCAACATCCACACCCACACTACGAGTAACCACCAGTGTTGATAACTCGCATTCTCTCCCACTCTCACAAATAATAACAAAAAATACAACGAAACATATTCCTCTCATGCCATGTTGGAAATGAGAACTAGATTAGACTAGCTAAATGACTAGATTTCATGTGCAATCAAGGAGGAATATGGATGTGGTATAGCTAACTGACTAGATTTCATGTGTGTATCAAGGAAGAACGTGGATGCGGTAGTCTAACATGGAGGATTACGATGGAATATTCCTAAGAGGTTGATGCCTAAAGCATTTCCCCATTAATTGCCTTGAAAATGGTGGGATTAGTACGGATATGATTTAGTCATCAACCTCTTATGATTAATCCATTTTAATCCTCCATATAAAAACACAACATTTCATACTCTTCCTTGATTGCACATAAAATCCAGTCATTTAACTATTCCAATTTCTTATAGTCTAATCCTCCACATCAACATAGCCTCAAATTCGATTGAGAATACCATAGACAAACAACCAATACCTAAAAATGAGCTCAAAGCAACCAACCGGAAAACCATGAACATTAAACATTATGTCACCGCCAATTAATTGCTCTGAAGTCTAAAAACTCAAATACATCTTCCGCCATTGCAGACCTCCTCCAATATCACCTCATCAAATGACATATCTAAACTACCAAGAAAAATTATGTAGCACAAAAACTCCGGTGATAATACCGGAAAAGCATTGGTATTTCGTCAAACAAAGCGAAAGTTGATGAATTGGAGATCCTCAACTTAACAATAGTCTTCTGTGCACCCAAGGAAGAAACTGCATCTCTAACCTCTGCATTGTTCATTGACAAAATTAAATCTTCGGAAAAGCTATATATCGAAAAGCAATCATCCTTCAGAGAGAAACTAATTGGGGATCAAAATCTGTATCGATATTTACTGATACGATTCATTTTCGAGAGACCCAGAAAATCCATACTTACTAGCATAAAATTCGAGCTTCTTTTCGAACTTGCGGTCGGCTTTGGTCGACGATTCTGATCTGCACCCATAAATTAAAACTCAGAGAGAGAGAGAGAGAGAGAGAGAGAGAGAGAGAGAGGGAGAGAGAATGAGAGAGAGAGAATGGGTTGCGCTGCATGGTGGTAAGGTCTTACCGTGAACCTGGCTTCCCCATCACTCAAACTTTCGAGCTTTGGTAGAGAGCGAAAGAGAGATATACAGAAAGAAAGAGAGATCGTGTAGAGGGGAAGGTTAGATGGGTGGAGGTGTGGTAGTTGGGGTGGTGGTGGTGCTGCGATGGTTGGCGACCGTGATGGGACCCTGAATGTTGATGCGGCGGGGCTGAGGATTTAGGAGGTGGTGGTGGTGGTGCGCAGGGGTTTATGGTTTGTCATGTTTTATTATTATTTATTTTACATTTTATGAGTATGTTTTTAGAAAAAAGCCCTCTCCGTCTTTCGTATTTTCATCCGAGGCCCAACATTTTATCAAAATACCAAATTTATCAAAATCTCCGTCCGTCTGTCTGTCGCGCCAAATTACAATACTGCCTCTGTTAGGAGTTAGGGTTTCGTTCAAGGCGGAGCTGGGCGGTTTCCGATCTCCCTGATTGCTCTCTTGTCGTAGGTACCATCTGCTGTGCTCTGTGCTTCACAGGTATATTTCTAATTTTTCCCCATCACAAAATCAATGAACAAACCGATTTTTATTTTTTTTATTTTTTAGTTCCATGGAGATGGTTAATTTTGCAGTTTCTCGGCGATTAAATTGTCAGTAGAATATTCAATTTTTATTTATTAATTATGTATGATTTAGTGGATTGTTCTTCGCTGATTATTCAGTTCCTAATTAGCCCTTAAAAATCAGACACCATTGTTTAATTTATGCTTATTGATTTGTGGTTTTTGTGGAAACAACCTCTTTGCAAACAAGGTCAGTCTATGTTCCCCGATCCTCGCAAAACGGGAGCCTTGTTGGCTTGGGGTCGTTATTAATTTTGATCTGCTGTATTTTCAGCATTCTGCTTAATTATTTACATGACAAATTTTGTATATTCATTAGATTTTCTGCCTGTTTCTCAGCTGCAACCAAACTGTTAAGAATTGTTGTTTTTATTGCTTAATTGATCATTTGACAGATTCTCAGCTGCAAACGAACGGTTAATGATTGATTTGTTTTGGTTTTTATAGGGCAAAGTAGGAAAAATTGTTGTTAGTGTACAGGTTTCATTCTAAGAAATATTCCTAGTAGTCTTTAAGTTGAGGTGGAAGGATGCCTCGTGACTTGGCACGGTCACAATGAAGGCGTTCGCCATCTCCAATGGGGTCTAAGGTTGCATTCTCTTCCTAAGAATTTAAAAGAATTCAGATGCTTCCTGTCAAATGGGAAGTGAGCAGGTGATGGTTGTTGTTGGATTTCCTTTTGTTGCTCGATTGTGACCTTCGCTTCTTCATGTGATAAAAGATGGAGCACACAAGGGTTATACTTAACAATGTATGAGGTAACCGTACATGTTTCTATATATTTTGCGCTACATGGTGGACTGACTTGATGGTTATTGATTATGTGTAGTCTTGTCCAGTTTTAATTGCCGCTGCTAATAGCTATGTTTTTAGTATACAGACGGAAAAGTCGTTCAATTACCCCTAAGCGCCGAAAATCGTTCTCCGACTCCAAGACATCATAAAAGTCGTTCTCCAATCCCAATATGTCATAAAAGTCGTTCACTGACCCCAAGACATCATAAAAGTCGTTCTCCAACCCCACGATGCCGTAAAAGTCGTTCTCTAGTTCAAGTCTTGGATTGTTGGAGCAGAAAAATGCTAGCGAGAAATTGAGAAAGGAAGAAGAAGAAGAAGAGAACATAAGGTATAACAATCACTTAACATCAGTTCTTTTATGATATAAGTTTTTTTATGATCTTTTTTAAGTTCATCTTTCGAGTAGACTAACAGTTTTAATTCTTTCCTGACTAATGCGCTAACAATGTGGGACTGTTTTCATTGTTACCCACAAATTTATGAGTTTTGATTTCTACATGAAAATTACTGTATTTGTTTTGGATGCTTACTATTGTGTTTAGTTCATTGAAACGATAGTGTAATTAACATAAGGGAAAGAACCTCAGGTTCATGTTTGAATTACCCTACTAGACATCTCTGTGGAACATGCTTGTTTGTTAACATTTCAGTTTTATACAGTACTTTCTCGGAAAATTAAATTAAGTATGGCTGCTGTTTACGTATGCAAAATTGAGATGCACACAACTTTTTTTAATTTGTAAAGAATGTCAGCTTCAATAGTGGAGTGTGAACCAAATCTCCAAAACCACAATACCGAAGAGGTATCAAAATCCAATGCTCTACGATACTATTCAGTGATATGAGGCTTGCAATTGTGTTTAAAGAAAGGAAAATTTGTGTTTGAGCATGTTTGTTAGACCTTGCTATGGATTTCTTCATCAGCTAACCTCTAAAGATTATTCCACCGGATTTCCTATGTGAGTTGGAATTCGTCTAAATTTATTCTGGGAATCCCTCAGTTTGGTTGCAGTTATTCTTGATTTCAGAAGTTAATAATATGAAATTGAGTTAGACTTCCAGATTGTATAGATATACGTTCTAAGCAAACAAAATTTTGCCCCTCATAACTCACCAAAAAGCAAACAAAATGGCTGGCACAATCTAAAATAGGAGCAAAAAAAAAAACAATAAAAAAAAGCTAGATTTATTATAAGAAAATAACTCACCATAGTGCTTCCGTATTACTTCTGGCACCACACAGTAAGGGCTCCCAACAACATCAGTGAATGTTTCTCCTGGGAAGAATACGGGTTTTTGTTATAATGATATTCAAATGTGAAAAAAAAAACGCGAAATCACTTTCTTGTAGCGAAAAATTACGAATCAATGACATAATGAACAAATAAATTAAGGTAACTGAACCATTAAGAAATTAACACCACAGACGTCTACATTTATCAGTATCCCATCAATATATACACCAAATTTTAGCGAATGCTAGTGATGTTTTATATTTATTGTTCTTACTGGTGATTACTGGATTACGTAAATGGTGCAGTGAAGACATCAGTGAATTATGCAAATGGTGCAGTGAAGACATTCACAAACTGAAAACAACAAATGGTGCAGTGAAGACGGTGAATCAACGCAGTCACAGATTAACAAATTGAAAACAACAAATAAAACCACAGAAAAAGAAAACAGCTAACTCACCTTGGAACAAAGAACATACGGACAGAAGAAGACTCAAAATGAGAGAAATGAAACAAATAAATAGACCTTCTAAGTCTCCTAATTCATTTAAAAAACAAACCATAGAATAATGTTATATCGGTGATATCAAACAAAAGCAAACGTATACCAGAAAATTACTCAAGGCTTTGCCTGATATCAAACAAAAGCAAACTACTGTGAACTTTTAACTTCAAAACCAATCATCAATGATAGATACTAATATCTCAACTTTCGAAAAAAATTACTTACTCTGCCAAACCCAAACCTGCCTCACAGTCGAAAGAAATGCACATTTTAAATTATCAATCATGTGTGTTTGTTCTCATATTTTCCCCTTTAATCTAACAACATATATGAAATTGAAGAGAGAGGATGAGAAATTTTTACCTCTGGGTGTGTCGACTCCAAGATTGGAGGTTTGGCCTTTGGATCCGCTCATGTGGAGCTTGAATCTCGCGAGATCTGGGTTCAGCTTTTCTGAGACAGTGGTGTAGGCAACGGTATTGGGGCTCTCATCTCTGATTTCTGAGCATGGATTTGCTCAGATGGGGATGTTGACGCCAAAACAAACAAACCCAACCCCTCAAAAAGCTTTGTAACAGTAGCAGTCATAGATTGCAAAACCACGCCAAAACCAAGCCTCTTTTTTACTTGGTCTTCTTAATCCTCTCCTTAATTTCACTGCAAAATTCACACACAGATATAAACGACCAACCAGGGTCCTTGTGGAACAAAACCCGAAACTGAATTTCTTATCCTAATCAATTGATTCAATTTTTAACATATACGCATAAATATTAAAGAGCAACATGCCATGTTGAACAAAACAAATGATTGATCAACTTAAAGAGTGTCTGAGAATGCTTCGGTAAGGCTAAAAGCGTTTCTAGATACCAAAATTTGATCAGAAATAACTAAAAGTGATATTGAATAGATTTAAATTGCAGTATCAATAGACTTCAATATTAACCGTTCACCTTGAAAAGACACGACAACAATGAATAGAATTAAATTGTAAGTGAACTAATATTTTGTACAACAAATATATAAGGTATATACATTGCACAAATATACATGATGCATAAAGTCTCACATGTTTCCGAAACGAAAAAGCTACAAATCCAAGATATACGGCCAATTAATTCTTCAACGGCTGATAGATCGCAGGATATTCTTAGCTGCCTTTGTAGTTCTTGTTTGTCAAATTCAAACAAAACTCAGGAAAAATAAATATAAACACGAGAGGAGAAGATACAAGACAATTACCTCTCTTTTGGCGGGAAGCTCATTCCCAAACATAAATTTTGATATCTTCCTCAGCCTGTATTATGCAGGTCGTGTACTCAGTGAATATGCTTTTGAGAAAAAATCAACAAGCGTGCATTAATTCCTAAATTCCTATGAATTTGGCATGCTAATTTACTGAAAGGATTTGGCAAAAAAGATTATGGGATTAGAGAGACCTCAAAAACGAATGATGCACATACAGATCTAAATATGGGTAAAATACCAGCTGAATTTAATAAGAAAGAATTCAGACCACAACACTATAGTTGATGATTAAATCAACAGCGTAATGTTTTGTTGAGATTCTGTTTCAGCATGCACTAAGAATAATCTCAATGGCCTTTCCTCTTCTACAGGTCCTGAAGATTTCGGAATCCGGATCTTGGGTTCATTTGGTTTCAGCAAAATATGAATGCATGAGCTCAAAATCTCTTAACTTTCCCTAAAATTCTTGAAATCATAATTTTATATTTTTTCCTCGAAAAATAGAGAACTGACCATCTTCTTCCTTGATGAAACACTTGAGAAAGAAAGTGAAGCAGCTTTGAATCTCAGCTGCTGAATACTCTGTTCTTCCTCCCCAACTCCACCATAACTCCAAGAAGAGAAATTTTCACGTGACCTCTTTCCAGCAGCTGCAAAAAAGATATCAAATTTAAAAACAAATTCCAAAAACAAAGCAAGAGAGTGCATTTGGACGTTGGTTTGGGTGCAGAGGCAGTGGAGGGACGGTGGGTCAGTGGACCGGTGGTGTAGGCGGTGAAGATGGGGATGGATGGTGATGGGTTCGGGTGGGCTGCCCATTTGAGGATTTGGGTTAGTTTGGTTGGGTTGCTGCCGGCTAAAGCTAGAGACTTGAGAGGGGGAGGTGGGTGTATTGAAAAACAGATCGGATTGGGGAAATTAGGGTTTTGATGGAGAAGAAGAAGAGGGAGGGGAGAGAGAGACCAGTGTAAATTGGGTTGAGAAGGGCAGCTGCCATTTCGTGAGGAATGACAGATACAATCCCCCAAATCATGCACCCACTCTCTGCGACCAAACCCCTCTCCTCTCTCCCCAAAATCCCAAAACCACGCCCCCAAATCTCTGCATCTAACCCCCTCTCCTCTCTCCCCCAAATCACGAGATCAGATCTTCTGCACCCAACCACCTCTCCTCTCTCCCCCAAAATCACGCCCCCACCCTTCGGCCCCAATAACAACAGCCCAACCGGCGGTTTTGGGCGAAGCACAACCCACACACAGAGACAATGGAAGAAACGTAATTAAATCAAAATTGAGTTTATTGAGTTGATTGTAGATGATATTTTTAAGAAATTGCTCAACATCTCATCAAGTGAAAAGAACGGCTTGGTTGGAATGGATTCCCGGTTACAGAAAATGGATTCACTGTTATGTCGCGGGGCGAATGAGGTTCGCTTTGTTGAAAATGCAAACTCAGTTTCACTTGGCGAAAAGACTTCATTTACACAAATTCAGAGGGCTCATCCACTGTAATTTGCAGATATAGAAATGTTAAGATAAAAGGAAATGCAAACTACCTTTCACCCAAATTTGCAACGGGAATTGACAAAACAATATCTTCACAGTTTCTGCATAAGCACAAATCAAAAGTATAAGAAAAGCAGCACGTAAGCAATGGAAACCCGCCAAACACGAACGAAAAGATCGGCAACAAATGTATTCCACATGTAGAGATATTCTGTTTGAATTTTGATTACCTAGAAATTGGGGGGTTGGGGCGGAGAGGAGCCCTAGCCAAGACGGAGCTCTGTAGTGGATGCCGATGATGTTCAGGAGAGTAGTATACGTGTCAAAATATCAGCATGCCCCATTCCAGAAACTACTACATGATCTCACAAGCGTGCTAAATCCTCATAGTTGACGGGAAATTGAGAAAGATTTGTGCACCCACTGAGATTGACAGCTGCAAGGCGCGCCAAATGACATAAAGTGTCGGGAAGATGTACAAGGCTTTCGCAGTTTTCCAGATTTAATAACTCAAGCCACTGAAGATGTTCAATCGAGGGGGGAAGCTCTTTGATAGATGTTCCATCCAAATGAAGCTCTCTTAATCCTTCCATATTTTCTTCAATGTTTGGAAACACCTCAAAATTTGTACAGCCAGAAAGAGAGAGATAATATAGGGATTCAAGATGACAAATGCTCCTTGGAAGACTCCTGAGTTCCTTGCAATCTTTTAGGATCAAAATTTCCAATCTTATGAGATTATTAATTGACGAGGGCAGTTTTTTAATTTTTGATCCGGATAAATCAAGCCTTATTAGTTCCTCCATAACTTCTAAAATCTCTGGAAACATGTCAAGACTTGAGCAGCCAGAAAGATCAAGGGCAATGAGAGATCTCATATGAATGACGCTTGGAAGACTCTTGAGTTCCTTGCAATCTTTGAGGTTCAAATATCTCAACTCCATGAGATTATTAATTGATGAGGGCAATTCTTTAATTTTTGACCCGGATAAATTAACCTCTTCTAGTTCCTCCGTAACTTCTAAAATCTCTGGAAACATCTCAAGACTCGAGCAGCCAGAAAGATAAAGGTTTTTGAGAGATCTCATATGAATGACACTTGGAAGACTCTTGAGTTCCTTGCAATCTTTGAGGTTCAAATATCTCAACCCTGTGAGATTGTTAATTGATGAGGGCAATTCTTTAATTTTTGACCTAGATATATTAAGCTCTAGTAATTCCTCCGTAACTTCTAAAATCTCTGGAAACATCTCAAGACTCGAACAGCCAGAAAGACCAAGATTTACGAGAGATCTCATATGATTGACGCTTGGAAGACTCTTGAGTTCCTTACAATCTTTTAGGTTCAAATATCTCAATCCTGTGAGATTATTAATTGACGAGGGTAGTTCTTTAATTTTTGACCCAGATATATCAAGCTTTAGTAGTTCCTCCGTAACTTCTAAAATCTCTGGAAACATCTCAAGACTCGAGCAGCCAGAAAGATCAAAGGCAATGAGAGATCTCATATGAATGATGCTTGGAAGACTCTTGAGTTCCTTGCAATCTTTGAGGTTCAAATATCTCAACCCCGTGAGATTATTAATTGAAGAAGGCAATTCTTTAATTTTTGATCCGGATAAATCAAGCTCTGGTAGTTCCTCCATAACTTCTAAAATCTCTGGAAACATCTCAAGACTCGAGCAGCCAGAAAGATCAAGGGTTTTGAGAGATTTCATACGAATGCTAGGAAGGCTCTTAAGTTCCTTGCAATCTTTTAGTTTCAAATATCTCAACCCCGTGAGATTATTAATTGATGAGGGCAATTCTTTAATTTTTGATCTGGATAAATTAAGCTCTGCTAGTTCCTCCATAACTTCTAAAATCTCTGGAAACATCTCAAGACTCGAGCAGCCATAAAGATAAAGGTTTTTGAGAGATCTCATATGAATGAGGCTTGGAAGACTCTTGAGTTCCATGCAATATTTTAGGTTCAAATATCTCAATCCCGTGAGATTATTAATTGACAAGGGCAGTTCTTTAATTTTTGATCCGGATAAATCAAGCTCTGGTAGTTCCTCCATAACTTCTAAAATCTCTGGAAACATCTCAAGACTCGAGCAGCCAGAAAGATCAAGGGTTTTGAGAGATTTCATACGAATGCTAGGAAGGCTCTTAAGTTCCTTGCAATCTTTTAGTTTCAAATATCTCAACCCCGTGAGATTATTAATTGACGAGGGCAATTCTTTAATTTTTGACTGGGATAAATTAAGCTCTTGCAGTTCCTCCATAACTTCTAAAATCTCTGGAAACATCTCAAGACTCGAGCACCTAGAAAGATCAAGGGTTTCAAGAGATTGCATACGAATGTTGCTGGCTAGAATCGTAAGTTTGTTGCACCCACTCAGATCCAATAAAACAAGGTTTGTAAGAGTCAAAATAGATGGGTGAACCTCAACCAAACTTATACAACTTGCACAAATTAGCCTCTCAAGATTTGGCACCTTTGTAAAGTCAGGCGTTTCCTTAAGGTATTTACAATATCTTAAATTGATGAATTTCAACTTTCCCAGCGTCTGCTAAAACATTCATGAAAACATGCATTACTTGATAAGATATCTCAATCAGAACCCAAACATTTAAAAGAGACATATAAATGTAAATGGTGATTGTAGGTACCTGCGTTCCTTCCCAAAGTTGTTCAATGCAACTATATTGCATGTCAAGGTCAACAAGATTTTTGAATTGAAAGTTGGATGGCAAAGACCTAAGGGGGGATCCAGGCCAGGAAAGACACCTCAACTCATGAGAAAGAAACTTTAAGTGCCCAATCAGGTGTTGTTTGCCGTAAGAATGACTGATCCTGAGAAGTCTTAGTTGAGTCATACTATCAAAAGCTTCAGCATTTAAGCATACCTCATCTGACTTCGACAATTCCAAGATTATGCTTTCAACTGCTTCTGTACCCTGTGCAAATCAAAGTGAAGGAAAAAACAAAGAACATTTGTTTAGATTATGAAGTTAATGCTTGTTTCTTAAGGAGCCGTTTTATAATCATTTCGTTTTCAGTTTTTAACTTTTGTTTTAATTATTTTTTTAGAAATCTGAAAATTGAAAACACATAACTTGTTTGATAAGCGTTTTCAATTTTCAATTAATAAAAAAAATCAAAATTAAAAATTGTAAAAAAAATTGTTACCAAATGGGCCTAAGAAATAGATTTTGATCAAAAGTTGAAGCTTTCTACTAAACATTGCATAAGAAAATGATTTCTCACCGTATTTTGAGTTAGCACATGACGAACATCTTCATAACTCCACAACCTGCTTCGTCTCCCAGGCTCTTTGACAGATTTTTGGCGAACTATTTCCCGACCCATTTCCTGTAGTGAATCATGCATCTCCAATTCCCCCCTCCATGAGACAGTTATGAGAGCTCGATCGATTAGAACTCTTATACCAGTATGAGGATAGAAACCACAACCGTCCATAATTTCAATTGCATAGTCCTTTTGCATTCCTGTAAAGAAACATGCAATATCTAGAAAGATGTCCCTCTCAGCATCATCTAGTCCATCGAAGCTTGTTTTAAGCACATCATGAATTTCCCTTTGTGGGATTTTCCTTATTTTTTCTACCACATCTTCCCACTCGCGTACAGTTTTGTTATCAAGAAAAGCTCCCAAGACTTTGAGTGCTAAAGGCAGACCCTGAGCATATTGTACGACACGCCTCGAAAGATCATCATAATCTCTGGTGGGTTGGCTTGTTCTGAAGGCGTACCGCTTAAAGAGTTCCAGAGCTCCAGCACCACATAAAATCTTGGGGCTATATATCGCATCAGCTCTGCTTAGTAATCGCACATCTCTAGTTGTTATAATGATTCTACTTCCACCACCAAAAGAATGTTCCTTTCCGAGTAAGGCTTCAATTTGAGCTAATTTGTCTACATCATCAACAACAACAAGAACTTTTCTCTGACCAAGGCTTTTTAACATCACCTGGAAACCATTTTTCAATATGTCGGAACGCCCCACCTTGTTGTCCGAGATACTACATAGAAGTTGTGTCCGCATATGTAGTTCGCCATGCTTCATGAAACCCTCCTTGACATTTTCAAGAAAGCAACGTGCTTCAAATCGACAAGCGATTTCTTCGTAAACAGCTCTAGCGATGGTTGTTTTGCCTAAACCACCCATACCCCATATTCCTACAACGCGAACATCATCCAACTCCACCCCAGGAGGATTAGGATGTAATCGTAAATGCATTTCGTGCATATGAGAATCCATTTCAACCAAGCCATTATCTTCGCGTGGTGTTGATGAGATGTGGATCAATTTTTTAAAAACATCTTCCACAATGTCCTCAATAAGCTTTGCATCCTCCCTGTCAAATTAAAAAAAAATAATAATAACAACACCAAATAACAAGTTTTCATCTGCTAGTTTTAAAAGAAAAATGAAAAATGAAAACTAAAAACTTAAAACAATAACCCCTAAAGCCTACAAAAATCTCAAAATTAATAGGAAACTAAAACAAATTAGAATTTACTCATAGTTTCGCGAATCCCAGCCGGATAAACTGGTGGCAGTTGTAAGAGCAGATCTCCAGCTCTGAACCTCTTCCATTTCGGCGTTAGAATCGTGATCGTGCTGAGCAAAAGCTTCCGCGAATCTTCTCTTGAGTTTACGAACATCGGATGGATCGACTTCGTAGAAAATGGGGAGCACAATCTGGTTCATGGTAGCCTTGCATTTCAAGATTTCCATGAGTTCTTTCAAGCACCAAGTGGAAGAAGCATAGTTTTGAGAGAAAACAACAATCGAAAGCCTTGACTCTCGAACAGCTGTCAGGAGCTCGGAAAGGCGGTCGCCTTTTCTGAGCTCTTGGGCATCGATGAAGGTGTTGATTGGTTTCTGACGCAGAGCTCTGTAAAGATGGCTGACGAAGCCCTTGCGAGTGTCTTCCCCTCTGAAATTGATGAACACATCGTATTTCCATTGAGGGCCAGAAGGAGAAGAAGAAGAAGAAGCAGCCATCAATCGATCGCACCTGGTCACCAATGATCGAGCATCAAAGATGAAGAGGAATTTAAGAACAGAAATACTCAATTGATCAACAAATTGGAGGAAAAGGGAAAAAGGAAAGAACGCTTTATGTTTTTCGCATCTTCTTCCAAGAAAGACCGGTGTCGGTCGAAAAGAGATGCTAAAAAAGCACAAAAGGAAAGAAGGAAAGAATGCTTTATGTTTTCCGCATAATTGCACCGGCCGAAGAGATGCTCAAATTTCACTTTGTAGAATGGGCTAAAATGCACTCACACATTGGTGTGGTTTAGAAAATTATAAGGCCCAGGCCCACGACCATTCACTATTCGTCCGTCACTCTCATCTTCTCTTAATAATTTTGGACAAGACATATAATGCTATGTTTATCACGTATTTTTATTATAATTTGTATTTTATTTGACAGAGGTAGGACTCGTCAAAGTATGTGAATCATTTTTTATTAAGAAAATGATACAAATAATAATATAAATAAGTGGTAAGAGTAGCATTTTTGTTTAAGATGACAAATTCATATGTCATTTCTTATGCCTAATTTTTAAAGGAAAATTAATGAAAAGTCTTCAAAAACTTTAGTTTTAACGAAAATGACAAAATACAGGTGTAATTGAATATTACCAAGAGTGACTTTTCAAGGTAAAAATGTCGTTAACGTTAAAAGTGAATAGTACCATGAATGTTTCGTTAAGATTTCCAATTTTTAAAACTACATATCATATTGTAGTAAATTTAAAATTTGGTACAAAATTCTAATTTTATTACAAAGATCGTTTTTCTTATTGTTCAAAGTTCGAATAGGGATGGTGATGGAGAAAGAAGTGGATATGGGAGTGGTGATGGAGATGGAGGTGGTTGCGGTGCCATGCCCAGTCTTTTTTTTCATTAGATTTCTTTTTTTTTCCGAAGTAAAAATTAATTTTTTAAAATTATTTTTCCACGTGACTCAAAGGTGTCAACCACTTGAGTACAAATATGAACCCTATATTTTCCACTCATTATTTAACCTCAAATGTTGAAATGATAAGTAATGTATGACACTAAAATGTTTTCAAGATGTTGTAAGTGGTTGCAATTAACCTCAAACGTGATGGGATAAAACGTAATTTACTCTAGATTTTATTTACTTAATACTGCTCTTCATACATTGAAATCTTAGGTTATACAACTTTACAAACAAATGATCACGCAAGTGACTATGAACAGAAAGAAGGTAAGAAAACATTACGGCAGGTCCGGGAAAACACTCTTCATGAAATTGATGAAACGCTTAGCGTACAGCTCCGGTTCGACAGCAGAAATGCGTTGAGGGTCAATATTCTTCAACGATTTGTAAGCATGCTCGAGTTTCTTTTCCACATTGTACTCCTGCAATATGTCGATTATCCCCATGTAAAGAACCACGTGGTAGAATTCAAAGAGTTCTACTTCTGTTGAATCGACCTCTTCCTGTGCATGCTTACGTTTGGCCAGGGCCGGCATGTTTACGCCTAATTGCACCCTTAACCTGAGAAAGATTCAGCTGACAATAACTATGTGCTGCTCGAACAATGAATGAAACACTGAATCCAGCAACAGTTTTTGAGCAATGAATTTCTATGTTTTCAGCAATCTAATTACCATTGCTTGACCGTGCTACTAAGTTACTCGCATAAGCATAACTATCCAAATCAGATGAAAGTTGATTAGAAGGTTAGGCCGCATATCATGAATCTTTTAGGGTGTCGTTTCACTCATACCAAGGTAACAGAAGATCCAAATGCTTACGGCATCAAACTTCAAAATATATCAGAGCGCAAAAGTGCAAATAGTAAGTGTAAAGTACAAACAAAAGAAGTACCTTCCTGTACCAGGGAGTAAGAGATCGACTTCTTTGTCACCGACAGAATAAGCTTTCAACGGACTTCCTCTGATGTGAGGACCTGGTGCAGTACTGACAGAGCCAGGTTCATGGGTTACCAGTAGAATACCTTTTGGAGGAATCAAAAGCTCCCCTTGCAAAGTCACACCTATTCAAATTGGAATATAAGTTCAAATATGAAATACGTAAAATGCGAGGACATAAGGGAATTCAGTTGGTATTAAAAGCTTGGCTGGAGGGAAAGACAACATTGTTCCATTCAATGTCATTTTCATTATGTTTCTTTCCCAATTCTTCATTCTTCCAAGTGCGTGGCTTTTGGAATTATGAAAATCAAGGTTCTAATCAGCCGCCTAGATGTCAATAACATGGTAAGGATACATGTTCCACCCCCTAGTGGAGTGAGGATGTTCCAAATCCCAAAATGTCGACCAGTACTAAAG